TCAACAAGAAAAGAACTCGTTCAAAAGAAAATTCATTGATCATGTAGGAATCACTGTCTAGTACCATTTTAACGTCATTACGAGAAGGGTGATAAATGACAGGAATGTGATGATTGGCAGCATAATGACATCCCAATTTCTATGCTCATCAATGCATTCTAAATAATGGTACAATTTCGAGGCGTTAAGAAAGATCTATGGATTTGAGAGAAAAAGCAGAATTAGAACATACCAAAAAAGCAATACATCGCACATCCAAACCACCTTACTATGTCTACTCTACCCTATGTACACTACTCTATGTCCTCACGCTCGAGTCACATATGCATCAATGAGAGAAGGTGAGGGATGGAAATAAGTAGATTTGTTAAGTGAGAAGATAAAAGAAATGAAGGTAGGTGACAGGAAAAAAAGGCAATAATCAGTTATTAAGAAATTAAAAAAGCAATAAGCAATAACAAGGGTAAAGAGAGTGGCTAAAAATTGTCATTTCGAAAACATATCTTGGGTGGCTGATAATCATTAGCGAAAGGGCAAAGTAGTTTGATTGGTTGGGTTAAGCAACGAAATGATATTGATAAGAGATAAAAGAGAAGGTGTGATAAAAACTATATTAACCGTGTCTACTCTACTCTATGTACACTACTCTATGTCCCAACGCCCGAGTCACAAAGTCATTACCTGGCTGCCCTCGCGCATGCGTAGCAGGATAATGGCCACACACGTCACAGCTCAAGTCATCCTCTTGTTAGGCGCGAACTCCTCGCAAGCGCATTTCTGGGTGCGACATTTGTCTCGGAAGATGCCGTCACAGTCTTTCATTCTGATGGAAAGATGTGCTACGCGGTGAGATCTAATATACCGACACCAATCAGTGGCAATAAAACAATACATTGTTTAAACTAACAAAACAATCTACAAAAAATGCTTACATTCACAAGCGAATTCTTTTTGGAGTATTTATTGGCTTCGTTCTCGGCATGTTGCTCAATAGCATAATTTATAATAGCCAACTGCACAACAGGGGACCAAGACTATAAAGTCCAGAAAGTTATCAAAACCGAAAGCAAAACTTATTCGCCAGATATTGGCAATAACGCCTTTTCTTTCGCATAATTTGTGGGATTTTATAACCATTTGTTAAACAAAACTCAGCATTTTATCAAATAACTTATTAAAATCTTTCCATAATTGTGTTATATTTTCGCTTAATGATCGGCTGGTATTTCAATTTGTAGAAGAGGAAAGATTTTATAATTTGAATTACTTTTCATATTTTAATACGATAATGGTTTGCTGGTTAGAATAAAAGTCGGATGAATATGTCCCTCATTGCTGATAAAGAACCTATGGACAAATTTGTCCTGAATTTGACGTCTTATTAATAATAATCCACCAATAGTAAAAAAAAAACCAGTTATTTGGTTTATGTCTCTAGTTTTCGTTTTTTTCTTGGCTCATCATAAGTTGGGTTTAAGGTTCGCTTATTGTTTATTATTTTTCTTTCTTCTTGGTAAATTTCATGAGTGAATTTTTCTTTATCTATAGATACTGCTCGAGAATTTTGGTATCATTGATTTTAAAAACATATTAATATGGAGCAAATTTTTCTCCCTGAGCTTTTTTTAAAATGCTTCTAATAGTGCTGGGTTCTATAGTGGATTTAATGTAAATTAGTTTCATATTATATTTTTATATAGAGATAGCCCTATATTAAGCATGCTATAACTTCAAGTAAAAAGTTTTATGATGAGATTTAAAAAATTAGTTGTATGATCCACTAAACCAAAGCCTTCCTAAAATTTCCAGCCACATAGCCATTTTTAACTCACATATAGTCAAATGTTTACTTTGTCTGGTTTTGTTGCAGTCTGCCCCAAATATTAATATTAAGGCAAAAAATTTTATTAATGGCTAAAGTGCAGATGGCATAATAATAATAATAACAAAGTTAAGGTCAAAATTAGGCCTACAACTAAAGTATAATTTGGGCATGATCCACAGCTATAAATAAGCCTCACCAGTATTTTGAGTTCATAGGCAATATTAATATTTCTACTCACGCCCGAAGCACACATCACGTGTTGCTAAGGGTTTTATGAAATTCGGACTATTGGAAGAGGGCGTGTATCAAATATGGGCGATAAAAACGTTCGAAAAAAGGTACGAAGTCAAATACTGTCTGGTGACTGTTGTCGATAAGGTCGTCAATGCATACCGTGTCATATCAGTAGAGAAAAAGATCAAAAGAAGAAACCACCTCCAACTCCCAAAGCACGAAGGTTGCCGAGATAAACTACCATAAACCTAGTGCAATCGCAAAACCTCATGTAAGAGGAAGGAAGCATACGGTTAGCGTAGCATTGCCAGGATCTATAATTGAGAACGCTCAATCCCTTGAGTTGAAGACGCTTCTGGCTGGGCAGGTAACCGTACAAATTGAGCGATGCAAATTTATGTTAGAAAAATCTATACCAGATACTCTTTAACTGTTTCTTTGAGTGTCAAGTGAATGTGAATTTTATTAACCATTTGCTATATATATATGTATATATATGTATATGCATATATATTATTCTATTTACAGCTTGCGCGAGCATTTGCAATTTTTAACGTTGACGAAGTCGTAATTTTCAATGAATCGATACATAAAACCAACCGCGCCGTTGAATCGCCTAATACTTCTGACGCATCTACAAACCCAAACGTGTTTCTCGCGCGAATATTTCAATACTTGGAAACGCCACAGTGAGTTTTAAACTTGCAGGTAGAGATCTTATCAAGGAATTCGAGATTTCTTAAAACAAATCGCGATGTATAGGTATTTGAGGAAATCCCTTTTTCCCGTTCACAAGGACTTGCAATATGCAGGTATTTAATAGTCATTCTTATAGGAGTGGTTGGCATAGCTGATGCTTTTGGTGACTTGCTTAATATCACTGTAGGTTTACTGAACCCACTAGATTGTCCACATCACGTGAGACAGGAAGAAAAGAGTCCATTTCGCGAAGGTGTCGTAATTGAAAAAAAGCCACCGAGCGGTGATGGAGCGCTTGTCAATGCCGGATTAAAAAAGGTGAACTGTTATGATATTTTCGCATACAGTAATGTATCTGACCGTTTTTATATGTTGATAGTATGTTCAGATTCAACGTAAGGTGAAGCCGGGCGTACGCGTCACTTTGGATATGCAGAATTACTCAACGCGTAAGCTGTCACACCTTTTTTTGGTGAAATGCGGAAGATCGAAACAACCTGTTAAATTATGTCAATGCTTACTATTATAGAAGCCAAGTATTATCAAGCACTTGTTGTGTCGCCGAAAACTCCACGTGAAGTTGCTGGGTTATATTGGGGTTACGACATAAGAATGGCGGATTCAATATCCAAAGTATTCACACATTCTCCATATCCAGTAAGTCTTCGAATTGAGTATTTTCAATTTCTACAAACCATCAAGCTGATTGATATGTATGCAGGGAGGCTATGATGTAACAATCGGAACATCAGAACGAGGACTATCAATTGATGATGCGTTGAGCGGGATACCAGAATTCAAGTATGACAAGCGGGTATAGTGGGGAATTTGTCTAACTTTTGTTAATCGCTCTACTTGTTTCTTCAGCCACTTGCTGGTAGTATTTGGCGGTTTGGGCGGATTGGAGGCTGCTATTGACGCGGATGATGATTTGAAATGCTCGGCGGAGGATGCCGACGCGCTATTTGATTTCTGGGTCAATACTTGTCCAAATCAAGGAAGCAGAACCATTCGAACGGAGGTTGCATCGTAATTCTGAAATGTTGTGAACAAAATGCTTAATATAAATTATGTTCTAATAATAATTTCTCAGGAATCAATACTGATTACGATGTCTTCGCTTCGGTCAGCGATTTGTCAGAAAGGTAGAATGTAATTATCCGATCTGAATAAACGGTTAGTAAGAGAGTATTCGGTGGGATTTGCAATCCCAATGATATACTAATACAAAATTCTTCTCTTCACAGCTGACATGCAATTGGAATATAATTTTAGGCCAAAGCCACCTAATAGCAATTTTCATTTGTACATATTTTTGCGAGACGTTAATGTTAGATGGCCACAATAACTTTCCGCCAATCCCTTTCAATAGATATTAACTTGCATACTCGTCTTTTTTAATGGCAACGTCATCCATAAACAATACTTTTAAGCTAAGCAGAGTTCTAAATTGAAGTGATATGTCACTTTATTGGGCAATACAATAAGATCATCCAGGACACTGTATAGGAGTGCCAGATTGTTTATTTCTTCCCAACAATAGCTTTGAGAACAATCCATGCGCCTTTCTTACTACAAAGATCGTTATCCTCTGAGCAAACAGGACTAGTCACACCTGCAACAAACCGCAAACATCAGTACAATGCCATGGGGGATACTATAAATGTCATTGAAATATCTTACATTGCGGACATCCTTCTTCACATGGGCAACTCTCTACAGTTTGCAAGGCTTGATTCATCAGACTTGCAATGAACTGAAATGCTTGTCTAGTTATCCCGGTTCCGTGCCCGTTTGTATCGTAGAGTATAATTCTGTCAACGGGAATTGTTTTTTCTTTTATTGCAGTTTCGCAAATAACGTGCTTGAAAAATTGTTCTTGTAAAACTCACCGTGCGGGCCGGGGTCTCGTCGCATGAGGACTCTTACATTCAGTTCTTACATCGCCGAGTATGGAATAGACATACGAGGGCAAGAGTGACATCAAGCAATGAGATGCCGCATGTACGCTTGCTTCTACATCCAATTCCATAGATCTGATCAACTCAACTGCAGACGGAGGTACCTTAACAGAACATTCAAGTTGATTATCCATCTAATTGTCTGCCGCCGGCAACAAAATTGGTTTACTACCTCCATCCATAATCCACAAGTTTTGCGGACAAGTGGTGGCATATTAAGATCAACCTTCTCGAATAGTTTGTTTTTACGATTGATTTTCCAATATCCAAAGACAGTTGTCGATACTGTGAATATGGTACATCTATCAGTTGAAATATCAATACCACCGGCAAGCTATTTTTTCGGCTTTACCTCTTAATGATCCATAATAGGCTAAATTTCCTGATTGACCAATATATTTCGTGTTGTGTGTCTCTATCGGGTCCACATCACTACGAACCAATAGTTGTTGTAAGCTATGAGGCGGACATGGATAGGAAAACATATCTTTCAAAACTCACGTGTAATCCCTATTCAGTTTTTACAAGTTGATCCATGTCAGTAACTGAGATCAAAACGCAAACAGGTTAATTGTCGACAAGATACCTTTGTCTTGTGTGCCAATCAACGTTAGTCGCCACCACTATTGCATATTTCTTATCGACATTTAGCTCTTTTACGAGATACGTAATTCCTTGATGAAAGAATATCGCACCTAGAAGACGTGATAGTGTTACTACATACAGTATACGCAACACCCTCAACCATCCATGGTCATCGCGCCTTACCCTCGTATATAGAGAAAATAGCCCTTGACACCTCAATTTCTTCCAATAAAGTATTTCGATCATTTGTAGTGTCAATCACCACATATACTTCATCTCCAATACCTCTAATATTCACATGCGAGCTTGGATACGGTCGATACTTTGGATGACAATGATAAAATCCTTCACCATCCTCCACCAGACACTCTTGACATAACTTCTCCAATCCGTTGCCGAAATACTTGCAATCCAATACGGGATATATGGGCATTTCATGCGCTGCACATTGAAGATGAGATCCAAGAATCAAATTGTTCTCTACGTCAATATTAAGATTTGCGTTTGGTTTGGTAAATAATTCATCCGGATTTCGCATGTAGTGTTGATCAAGTGGATGGGAATCTCCAACAAGTATGGATAAAGAATCTTTGTTTCTTCTGCCAGCCCTGCCAGATTGTTGGCGCTGTTGATGGTATGGTATTAAAACAGAGGTGAATATGCAACATATGGCAGGCATCGATATGGTATCATACCAAGGCAGATATCGTCCAGGGGAATCCCATAGTAATAACGGCGTCTACAATGAGTGTGAGGTCACTATAAGAAAATATAGAAAGACATATAGCAGTAGAAGGTGGTACTAACCTAGCGTGCCAATATCAATACCTAATTCCAAAGCACTGGTGGCGATAATAGCCAGGAGCTCTCCCTTGAACATCTGCTGCTCTATCCGTCGGCGATCCTATTATACGAAAGAAAATGAGACAAGCAAATCAAAAGTATCTGTCTCTAAATTTGCGTTCAGAAGGGTAAAACCTGAGGCGTGTAACCAGCCCTATACGACATGACTCGCGACGCAAGTTCGGATTTATTTGACGAGTTGAGTTGATCTCGAACTTCTTTTAGCAGCATTTCGCAAGCTTTGCGTACCTAGAAAGAGAAATGTTATGCACAATACAGTCCCCGTGGAAATCGGTTCATCGTTTTACGCGTTCTTTAGTTACCTTGCAAAATGCTATGGTTCTAACGCCACGCGAAATCAAAAAGTCGATTAGCTTTGCAGTCTCTGTGATTGAACTATGTCGTCCTTGTGTTTTGTCACTATTATCAACAAGTGCTGGATTCCATACGAGATGGACCTAGTCATTGCGATACTTCATTAAATCGTTGAAAATTGCAAATAAGCTAACCGCAGTATGCCATACCTTTCTTCCGCACGGTGAACCGTCCACGGATATTAACCGAATGTTGTCGATACCAAAAATTGCTTTCATATGCTACATAATAATAACAGATTATGAACAAACAATCCACAGGTTGTCTGTTTCTTCTTAATATATTATGATCAGCTACCTCTTCGGGATTTGCTACAGTTGCACTACATGAAACAAACTGAATGTTAGGATTGCCAAAGGTCGCGCAAAGTCGACGAAGACGACGCATGACTAGTGCGATATGTGATCCGAATAGGCCGTTATACACATGTAGTTCTACAAGTTTAAACAAGATATGTACTCTGTTTATTACAAATGGTTTATATATATAAACAAAAAAGTGAAGTTATGCAATCGTACCATCAACTACAACATATCTTAGATTCGCGAAAAACGATCTCCACCGAATCTCATGAGGTAAAATTGCAATATGTAACATATCCGGATTCGTAAAGATTATCCTCGCATTTTCTCTTACGTTTGCCCGCTCTTCCCATGGTGTGTCCCCATCAAATGCAGCGATCTAGATACATTATACAATTGTAACATTCATATTATAAAGGTTGATTTTGTACATAGTAGATTGTCTATTTCAGAACGAGACTGTACTTGAGTATTTTGTAAACAAGGAATAGCCGAGAGGAGCTCTTGAAGAGCGCGTTTCTGGTCTTGCGCGAGTGCTTTCGTTGGAAACACGTACATAGCACGCGCGTCACGGTCTGTTTGTAATGCTTGAAGGACTGGAATTTGATACACTAAAGATTTACCACTATCAAGGAACACGCTCATTAGCAAAAAGTACGTGGTATTTGAATAAACAATAAAACAAATAACGACATTACCTTGACGTAGACGTTGATACTATTACGTTATAGCCCTCGTTTAGAGCATTAATTGCTTGTGCCTGGTGAACGTAAAATTTGCTTATGCCCTTGATTTGCAAGAGAGCGACTCGCATTTCCTGCGACAAAGGTACAGTGAGCTCACCTAATGTCGGCAATGTGTGTCAGTAGACGGGACTAAATCGTCAAGATGATCAACAAAGATGCAATATCGAACCATATTCAGCAAGTCTTTCATCAAGGATTCGACAACCATCGGGTACTATCTGATCGTGGTAGAATGGTTGCTTCTTTAATTCTTGAATCAGATCGTCAATTGTTGTCTGCTTTTTATCAGTTGTAATCGGTTCGAGAGATGACCCCGAATTTTTCTCTCCAGGATTCGCTGGTAAATATTGACGCGACAGGACGCTAATACGCTCTACAGGATCTATTTGCTGAGTGAACGTGAAAGAGTCATAATGATTTCTCGCTGATCAATCCATAAAGACGCGGATGGTTTTCAATACCTTTTTGCTGCATTCATCAAGAAATTCAATGACTGCTGTTTGAAATTTCAGGTCTCTCTTCTCGATTACTTGAGCTAAGGAAGCCGTGTTATATGTGGGCGACGCGTCCTCTGCTTTTTTATTTCTAATTGAGCATTCGCTGTCATGTTAATAAATAATCTTCAAGCCAACTATTGGTTCGCCTTATGTGATCTTTACCGTTTCTTAACTGCTTGTTGCGGATCTCCGTCCAAAAATTCTATCAAAAGATCAAAAGAATGTTTTGAAGAATGTAACTCGTACGAGTCATCCACTTTGTGGCTCCCAACTTTTTTCAACATTGTCTCTTTATCGGTATACATAAAAGAGATCATGGTCGGGACAAGAGCTCTTATTTCCGCCAAGTTTTCAATGGAAAGTGTCCTTGTAATTAATAATCAAGTTAAAAATTATTTAATATATGATCCAATAAACATGCAAAGGTAAGTACTTTTTTGTTAAATTTTCGACCGATGCTTTTATAGTCTCGAAAGTTATCGCGATATGCTTCCGTGTACAGCAAAATGTATATACCGTGTTTAACGACTTGAATACTTTATTTAATTCCTGAAAATATTGTGGCCAAGCACGATATGCTGAGACTTTGTCGTTCTTGGGCTTCTTAGCTGGTCTATGTGGCTGAGTGGTCTTTTCGCAAGCTTGTAATGACGCGTTATTGGTCTTGCCATGTCTTTTATTTGAAGCAGATTTTGACTTTGGTCTATGCGAATTCACGAGATTGTCTTTGTCGCGGTCCATAATAATAATTAGGCGTCTGTACAATCATCTGACTATGTGTACATTTTATTGGTCATGTGTTTGCACGATTCATTACTTGAACGCTGTATTTAGAAGTTCATTAATCATTGCTGTTTTGAATGACGTTGCCCTCATCGACATATCAAGTTTAAACATTGGGGTAACTGCCGTAACTGTCTTTTTCTAGTGACCCAAATAAATAAATGTATGTAATATGATATGTAGCCATGACATCATATCTTATAGATATTCCCTTTTATGGTATAATCATAGACTTTCAAATTTGGAGATTGAGTTTTCGAGGTCCAAATTTGGAGATTGAGAATTAGTGTGTGAACATTCCCTTGGTTTATAGAATACGTCAGATAACGATTCAGGTGCTTTGTAGGAAATGTTTACTGTCAAGTTGCACCTGGTCATTAGCCAGAGAGGATTATCAATTAGATTTACCATGTCAGATTAGATGAATAAAGAGTGGTGTGGGACAATGATCGCATACCGGTAGATCATCTTCATCAAAGGATTAGATGGTTAACATACTCCACATTTGCCCTGTGACCATCGAGGCATTGGACGAGTTGCTCAAACTTCGATATACAAACACAAAGATTTCAATATTTAATTAATTTGACTAAAAGTTTTTAGTGTACAATAGAAATAGTAATAGATATAGCATAGTAACAATGTTATTACTGTTACTAAACCGACATTTCTTTTCTATTCGCTGGAACTAAATACATTACGGGCTGATTTATTAAATAATCAGCCGCAGGGCTGTAAATGCCTAACGTAGTCAACGACGTCTAACTGCACAGAAAAAAAGAGATCATCTATCTATGATCATGTACTGTGTCCCAACACTTTCCCAAGCTAATTGTTCGTTTGGTTGCAAAGGTATTCCCACTCTAATTCATGCAGAAATCTCTCTCAAAGCAGTCAACATTACTTCACGAGTTCGTGTTGTCAGTTCATCAATTTGTTCTCTATTATTCTGATCAATTCCCTCTGTTGATATTGGAGGCAAAACTGCATTTGTATGATAATTCTTGTTAGTGCTTGAATGCAAAATAAAGGAACAACGTAATCTCCAACATACTTTTTATAGTGATTTCTCCCCCCGCAAATATTTGTCTTCTCGAATCATATACGTGACTGTAATTAGAGACTACGACAGGTACTATCGGGATTTCGGCCTGCACAGCGAGGTGGAATGCGCCTTTCTTGAAGGGCAGAAGATCGGCTTCTTGCAAATGACCTCGAGTCCCCTCGGGGAAAATAAAAACACTGACCTGAATCATGAACATAGGACATTACTTGTCGGATGATGAAGCCAACTAGATAAGAATTGTATATTACCATTAATATTACCTTCTGCTCCTTGATGGTTCTCACAGCATCAGCAAATTTTTTCATAGCGTTCTCGTGGTTACTGCGATCCAAGAAAATAGCTCCACCAAGTGTCACTATAATCATAACAAAGGAGTATATCGATTAGAAATCATATCAATCTAAATGTCAACGCGGCCGGGAAGTTTGTCTTCACATTAATTCATCAAGTACATGTTTTCGCTATCTAGTTTACCTCCGATCCACCATTAGCATGTATGAACAATACTTACTAAACATTCCCAAAAGTGGTACCATTCTAAGAGATGACTTCCCAACCACAACACAGTTTTTGGGGAATATTTTGCCCATTACAAAAGTGTCTATTCCAGCTTGATGATTACAGACAAAAATTGCGGGCCGTGTTTGCATGTATTCATCGTTCTCAACTTTCAGTGAGATGCCAACCAATGGAGCCGCGGATACATAGGCGCGTGCAGTCGCCCAATTTATTTCCTCTCTTCGTCTAAGTATCGTGAATAATATAGCAATTATAGTTCCGTACGCAGAAAAGACTAGTATAGAAGTCAAATATATACAACCGCGAACAATGAACTGTAATATCCTATTATAACGACTTGCAAAAAAGATCATAGCTAATAAGAGACCGCCAATAGCAAACGATCGTGCCATCTCTGAACTGCCGGTGTCCATGCTCATTACAAGATGGGTAAGATCTAAAAAAGTGCGGACGACAGGAATAGAGGACTTATTCTTATTGATACTATTACTATAATGCGATACTATTGCTATTATACTACTGTGGTGATTATTGATGCCGCATATGAAACCACTTCAGTGTGTTAGTATTGTAGGGAATTCGGCTATTGTATGACCGTGTTCTAATAGACGCCCGAGTGTTTGATGCCCAACGTGAGAAACAGAACACGGCTTCCCTATGAAAAAGATGTGACAGACAAAGGTTACTATGCAAATGCGTAGATACATAAATCTGTGCGAGTAAAGAGTGTAAGTAGGATGGATTGCCGAGTGACGAATAAACTGAAGAAGAGGTCAGGTGGATAACAGTGCATTAATATTAATAGTGATCTGAACCCCCGAGATAAATTATCCCCAAAATATGTGCACTGATTGTCATGCTTTTTCACATGATTGAAAAAAATGGCAACATCCATCGAATGAATTCAGTTTGTTTACCAAACCCGGCAGTAATTTTCAGGTGCCATTTGTCCATGCATTTGGGCGCATCTGCCAATATCCTCAATCGAAAGTCTGATAAATCGGGAAAAGTGAACGTAACGCCACGGCTGCCTTAAATTTGAAAGAGCTCCTTAGCACCAAAATATTAATACCAAAGATTTCCCTCAATCTCTAACCGATTTGGGTCTATATACCGATTCTTATGGGGCAATGATAATTGCAAAAACGCGAACATATCTGCCAGATAAGGCATGTATATGTAAGCCAGTATACTAATTTAAATTTTGAAACAAAGAAGTACAGGGTCTCAATAGACTATGACAACTTTATTTACTCAAACTGAAAATTTAATTTACAAGCTTTAAACAGCCACCAGGTTATAGTTATAGACTCTATAGTATTGTAAGAATCTCGACGGGAAAAAAAAATACCCGCGTTATACGTGGGACGGTTAAAAAGTTTTGAGCTTTTCGCTTTATTTATAAAGAAAGGTTGTGTATTCTTTAATCTCTTCAATTATAATTTTTTATTTCACCATATTAATGCAACTGTCTGCGCCATCATCTTCGAAGTCTTTAATCCACGATTAACTGTAGCAATAGATGGAGCTTGATCCTGAGTGCAGTTATTAACTCTGTAAATTCTTCTTTTGACACTTTTCCGGCCGATAAACATTTGAACCCATTATTCTTGTTGAGCAAATTCAGATAATAATATAAACTCTAAAACGACGATTGCCTAAATTTTTTATATAATTCGACACTTCGTAAACGCTAAACTTCATTAACAGAATTCGTTAACCAATAAATCGTATGTGTTAAATAAAATGGTTTATGCTACTACTACCCATGAGATGTGACTGTATAGTAATAGTAATAGTAGATAATATCCCATCTGACATTATCTTAGGTATTAACTTCTATTGAAGCATCAAGCAATAATAGATTTGGAAGACAAGAAACTTGTCTTAGGAACTGAGAAACTCACTGAAATGTACTAGTACCGTCGGTTGAAATCACACCCACACGGATATAGAATAGGTAGAAGTAGTCCAAAACTACCATTATTAGATCTGACCTATTTCAACATGCAAGCATCCAATATGGATACTGCATTGTTCCAAATAACCTGAAAATGCAAAATCGGCAATACAATTTAAATCAAATATGACATTCGCAATGATGAGCAATTGTAGAAAACATAAATGAGAACTTACATCATTCCTTCTCTAGTTTGTGATTGTCCAGTCCACTTCTAGATTGTAGGCTGATCCCTGTAAAATTTATTCAATGTATCCAATTAAAATGTAAAGGGGGTATTTTGACTTGTGCTTTTATGATAATGTAAAAGCACATTAATAAGATTAGAAATTGTAACTGATATTTTTCTTTTATACTACCTATAGTCATTCAAAGATTATGCCAAAAGGAACAAACATCAACTCCAGGACAACTTACTTACACAGTATCACATGATCCTACCTTTATTTGCGATTATTCTTCTATTTTCCGCGCTTTTATTTAAAAAAATTTTCTATTCAGTCAGTCAATCACGATGGATTTTGCAGTAAGCATAGAGTACTTACAAAAGTCGGATTTATTACGTTCTATGGTTATCCTATCAACAAAATATACCATCAACTATTTGTTCCTCTAACCCATTAACCAAGTAATACTGCTAAGGAGTTTTCCATACCATTACTTGGGCCAAGAAATTCTTAAGTAATACGTGTCGAGGAGTTCTCTTTCCGCAAAAGCGACAAAAAATTTTAGAACAAAAATACCTTCTTTACAAAAGCTTTGCATCCGTTGCATCTAATAAACTTTTTCCTGATAGTATGAATCGCTTGTTCCACGTTCCAGCGAGAGTATAACATTGTCCTATGAAGGACGGTGAATTAAGGGGCGATTTTTCGTAGCAAAAAATTGGCATACGACAAAGGTTACGATAAGCATTCTAAAAGAACTATCAGAATGAAGCATGATCGGTATCTGGAAGCTCTCTTATTTTGCATCGCGTAAGAAATACATGTGGCTCTCGATATAAGAAAGTGATCGGGTCCTTTCTTACGGGAATTGTTTGTTGTAAGATTTTAAATTGTCTTTCTTATACCGAAAGTGTTGGCAGGTGTCACATAAATCCATAATTTGAATGTAAGGCGTTAGTTTGGAACGCATCATATTTTAACAACTATCCTCTTCAAGACCTACAATGAAATCTCGATAAACCGAGTAATTCGGTTGGCATTTCTACCAGGACTTGGCAATCCATTGAGTTTTCGAGAAAATTCTTCACAGCGGCAGCAACGGTTATATCAATAGTTATTTTGGTTTTCCATCGCGGCGTTACCATGAACACGCGGTATTATACCATTCGTCACCAAGTGATTTCGAAGTGCGCGCGGCGAACTAACATATTGAGATACGTTTTTTGATAAAGTGTCGTACTCGATCTCAACAGTAAAACGTTCGCTTATTAGTACGCGTATTGTTTTTAAGACGTCAACTGGCAGTTATTTCTCCGCCATTCATCGCTTTCAGCTGAGCCATTAAAAATATATCTAGAGAGGGCTTGAAACGGTTCACGTAACTCGGCAAAATTTTCTCTCGGAATCATTTTCGAGCAGCCACAATTGCAACCTAACTCCAAGAAACGCATGGCTTTTTCATATTCGGTGGAACCGTTGTAATTATTATTATTCATATACGGATAAATTTTACGCTTCACTAGTTTTGTTTATTTTACTGAATTTCTTTCGTCCGTTATTGTTATTATTTGTATTGATGATCAGTGGTATGCAAAAATTCATTCAACCGGGTTACCAATCAATCATAGCATCGAAAACTGATAAGTATAAAAAAGGATAGCTTGTTTATATTTAACCGTTTGCTGAGCGGGTATAGAGAATGTGCTTAGTGTGAAAGACTTATTTATTTAGACTTAGTAATAATTTTATAATAATAAGCCTAGCTCAGCTGGAGAACATTGTTACAGTATCAAACACACTGAAAGTATGATTGATACCTGTAGGATAACTAGCAATCCATTAACAATGATAACCTTAATACAGTAGTTAATACAGCCTTCGACTTTCAATGCTACTAATGACGTGAATATACAAACCATTTGCACTTTATCGGGCAAAGTGAGGACATCTCTCAATTTGAGGGATCATTTGTGCTATCATAGAGGCTAGCTTCAATCTTTCCTATAATCTCTTCTTGTTCCATAAGTTCGTCCTAGTATATATAGTAAGTACTGGTACTATCATCTCATGCTGATACTCTAGAAATACACGGAAAATCGATGTAATTCGATCACCTATTGACCATAGGTAAAGCAACCACATTTAATGGGTATTGCAACATGCTAATCAATATTCAGAAAGTCTATGCCATTGAATTCTCATATGGAATAAGCAGATTTCTTTGACAGACATCCAAGAACTATTTTGTTTAATAGGCAAACACAGTAGAATGCAATACTCTCAAAACACAAAGTAAAAGTAAAAGGGGATCGGACATTGTGCCACTGATAAGGTCTATTAGCCTTACGCCCAACACAACGCATCGGACTGGAAACCAAGAACGGGAAACTCGCGTGGCCCGGAGGGTCCAGCCTTACCGACTTACCTGTGATCTAGACGTTGTGCCACTGATAAGGTCTATTAGCCTTACGCCCAACACAACGCGTCGAACTGGAAACCAAGAACGAGAAACTCGCGTGGCCCGGAGGGTCCAGCCTTACTAGATCAAACTTTTCCAAAGAACGTGCCAACCGAAGCAGGGACAGATCGGGTGACTGACCTAAAGAAAATCTTTTTCCTTGTCGTTGCCTCAATTTACTTTTCCCACTGCAAATTGTGCAACGTGATGTGACCAATGAGAAAGCTGACCCCAAAACACGACTTCGACACGCGACTTCATTAACATTCTCTATCTGCAGATGATGGCTGACTTAGCGAATATACTTGATACAGAGTATCTGTCAAAAAGAGATTTCTCATACTGGTCGCATAAAGACGGGTATTATGCACTTTGTCGTATAGCACGCAAAGCTATAGACATTTCGACTTTTGAGGAGACTTGGAAAAAGTCCCTTGCAACAAAGAAACTGTCCCCTCAATTAGTCTCATTGCTCAAAAGTCGAAGGAAAGCGACGGTGGATGACAAACGCCGACTGAGAAAAGAATTTCTGGATGAAACCGCAGTAGACAGTTTGGAAGAAGACGCGGTAGTGCTTAGCCTGTTCCTTGCATAGCTTGCACCATTTACTGATATTTCATTCAATTATGATAGATAATGCAGGGAGCCGCACTATTAAAGTCAGGTATGCAATACGATACTAGAAGAACCAAAGCCCGATTGGAGAGCGGCGTAAAACGTAAACGGAATGATGACGGTAAGCACCCAGAAACCTTAACGAGAACAAATGACAGGGTGCTAATACTAAGCAAACACAGATGAAGAGGAGTGTTATGAAGAAGAGCAGGAAGAACAGGAAAGCGATGACATAGAAGTAGGTATACCTAATACCTGCCAACCTGCATGGGTTATACTTTAATCACAATTTTTCTCGGTAGTAGAGTTATGATGCAGTGGAAGAAATGCAACCGCAAACCCCCCCACCACCACCACCACCACCATCGGCTCAGACGCCTATATCAACGCCAAACAAGCGCAAATTGACACCAGATGAGTTAGAATTGTAGGATCCTTGATATTTTCATTTGTTGTTTCTGCAAATGTGAATGGCTTTAATACTGTTATTTCTTATTTTAACAGCTGTTACGAGAATATGTCAGTTGTTTGCGCATTTAAAACCACGATGCACCGTCTTCCGGTATTGTTAGGGGAGAAAGTGGCTGCAGACCTGATCAACAACATTAACAACGAGGCCATAAGACCACCATCAGTTTGGCCACAAATAAAAAAGTATCTGGATATTGTATTGAATGTAACTTGAGCCCAATTCATTTTCGTTTTTATTTTGTGAATTCATTGCTTGAAATGTAACATGACTATGCAGACTCGAAAGGAAGATTTCAAGAAAGCACTAGAGGAGACCGTGAATGATGAACATGACATGTTCAGACTGTATTGCAAAAAAGTCTTATCAAACTTGTATGTATTAAAATTTTTTTGCAAAAGACCACATACTGTATACTGTATAGTGACTAATAAGAGTGAGTACATGCTATCCAAAAAAACTTCTCTTATAGTTACGATCTTGTCGATATTTTTCCTATGATCCCTGTGAGTATGGGCGAAAGGAAGTACATTGTTCAAAATGTCAGTCCGCTGTTCACATTTTATGAACGGACGTTTGGATTAGTTTACTTCGATTGGTAGGTTTCATTGAGCATGTCTATCTTTTGCCGGCCATGGGTTAACCAAATACATTTTTTACCCAAGGATTGAAAGCCACTCCCGTGCAGCAAAATTGGCTCGGTCACCATCAGAATCAGGCATTGTCAAAGTAGATGCCAATGGTATAAGGGTACGAGACAATCAAGAAGTGTGGCATTTAGAAGTTGCTGGCTCGCCATATATCTTCTCAACGAAACATGCCGGTGATAATGCACGCAAATCAATGAACTTGGAGCTTGTTACTTTGGTGGCTGTATTGCGTGAATACTTGTCAGCCCCTATACGACTGGCAAAGAGACTGAAAATTTTTAGTTGCCAAGTGATAGGTGAGACGAGACATACTATAAATGTTTTGCAATACCCATTAAATGTGGTTACTTTACCTATGGTCAATAGGTGATCGAATTACATTGTACAGCCTCAGTCTCATGGAGGAAGGTAAATTCCTGGCAGAAGAGTTGGAATCTGCAAAGTTTCCACTTTCTTTTGCTGCCAGAATTAGATATATAGGTATATTCAAAATGATGGCTCGATTCCATGTAAGTATTTCTAGAGTATCAGCATGAGATGATCAGTACTAGTACTTACTATATATATAACAGGACGAACTTATGGAACAAGAAGAGATTATAGGAAAGATTGAAGCTAGCCTCTATGACAGCACAGATGAGTCCCTCAAAGTGAGGGATGTCATCACTTTGCCCGATAAAGTGCAAATGGTTTGTATATTCATGTCATTAGTAGCATTGAAAGTTGAAGGCTGTATTAACTATTGTCATTGTTAATGGATTGCTAGTTATCCTACAAGTAGCGATGGTGATCAATCATACTTTCAGTGTGTTTGATATTGTAACAAGCCGAGCCAAAGGAGGTGGCAAAGCTCAGGCTTATTATTATAGAATTATTACTTCTAAGTGCGATATCCAGACTATAAAGATTAATAATATGGTTACATTGTTCCATGCCATTCTTCTGGCAAACGCACCTCTGAATGAGGTATCATAATAATGTTGGCCACGATATCTGTATATTTTTTCGAACGCTTCTATAACTTTATAATTAGTAAGTGAACGTCCCGCCTTAAATGTGTCGTGACGTCTATAACTAGTATAGTACAGACAATTATTTTTATCGTTTGCGAGCATGGATTAATATATCGCACTGATATACTTTGTTTTATCTTAGAAAAGCATTAGCTTCAGCTTTACACATTTGATAATCATATTGGTGACTTAACCACTTTGCAATATCCCGGAGACAGTATCCTTCTTCCTGAATCCGGGTATATTATAGTAGAGCAATAGTTGGTCGAAACATTTTGATAATTCGGTGTTGCGACAAAATAGAATAAATCATATAGATGTGAAAAACATCTCCGCCCAGCGACGCACGGCAAACATAGAATTACGGGATGAATTAAATTGCGAGGTACGAATGAGAGAAAAATTCGTAGACTTATGCGGGAGTTATAAAAATGCTTAATTCGCCGGAGTACTACAATCATTGACCAAAAGAATGCGTTTCCAGAATTAAGCAAAGGATCGAAGAATTAAAGCAATTCGCCTGATAACACAAAATGGCTAAAGTTGGATGATGACACACAATTAGAATCAAAAGGTGCCGTGATTAACGCGAGAAAAAGGCCATGTGGCAGAGAAACCGGTAAAAGATATAATAGGTCACGTTTCTAATCAATCTCAAGATGAGTTAGCAACAGAAAAAGAAAACACGCGAATTGTTATGAAGATGCTACATATTTTAATGCAGACTTGCTTCTCATTTATCGTAAATATGAAGAAATTATAGGGACGAAAAAAATAAGACACACATTTTGGCGAGTTTATTATGCAAAAAAATAAAAACCGATTACTATCAAAAATTTTGCTCGACTTTTATATAACAGATACAAACGTAGGACAATAGATAAACACGACAAATATGTCAAGTGAAACTGAAATCAAAGTGAAAACTAATTTGGAATTTGGGAAAGCGAATTAATTTTTTAATGATAGGATTTGAACTACCAAAGTTTCGCGGATTAACAGATTAATATGCGGATGAGAATTCATGGAATTTTCTTGAAGATGCAAACAATTGGTATGAAAGCAGGCTTAAAGATAAAAATTGGGAATTACAAAACCTTACCGTGAACATAATAATAATCTATTACTGCGGAGAAGTCACAATTAAGATTTCATTCGTTGTCCCAAGGCAACGACCCAGTAAATCGTTATTAAAAAAGAGGAGTTAGACAACAATTTTTGTAACTCGTATTGGTCTCGAAACCCTTAATACGAAAATTGGAAGAGGTTGAAATACGGAAGACTGAATTAATGTCAGGTGGATATAATCTTGAATCTCTCAATTACTAAGAGCGTCGCATCGATAATCGTTCGTATAGCTGATTAAGCTCTCGACGCTGTAACTCTTAAATAAGTTCAGCATATTAATATACAGAAAGTTAGATATTACCAGACTGAATATCTACCATTAGACATTAGAGGTCATAGTGAACACCAGTTGAATATTCCAATCGCAAGTTTATTGGTTGTTTTCATTCGATCCTATAGATCCTATAGGTATTATTCCACCGAAACCTATGCAGAAAAGGTGTAAACCCTACTCGAATCTCAGTTGTTTATATATCTAAATTGCCACATAGCTATTCTAAGATCTAAATGATCGATAGCTATTATTGCAAAAATATGTCTTACAAGTACCCCTATTACCATCATCAAAAATGTTTGATTCCGTATATATTCCAGTAAATTGTGGATAGTTAAATTCCGTATGCAGTACGTCGTTCGTTGGTACGTCTTGATTCCGTAGATATTCCAGTAAATTGTTGATAGTTAAATTCCGTATGTACGTCTTTCGTCAATCGTAAATTATTCGCAGCATATACACCGCTCATTGGAGTTACGCCGCTTTCATTTTTTTCTTCCACTGCCAGCCTTTGTAGATGTTGTGATTGAAGAGATGTCCTGTTCTGAAGATAAGATAGACGTGAGGAATCCACTTTTTGTCATAGTAATAGGTTGAGTCCTACACATATCTTCTTTGATGCAGTCGATTCGACCGATTCTTTGTTCTGTGGATGTAAGAAAGTAGTCATTAAAAAAATGCTCACATAAAATTCAAGGCAACATAATAATAAGGTTCTAACCTTCGAAAGAGATAATTGCTTTCTCCGCTTTGTTGAACGGTCAGGTCTTTGGAGATAGAAAATCATGATTATTATTGGACTAAATACAAAAGAAAAAGAGTTAGTTTCTATCGGACAATCACTTCCAGCAAAAAAAAATACCTCTTGGTCTAGTTTTGATGATAATCCAGTGAAATTTCCTATATACCTTTAGCGTTCAATCGTGCTAACAGTTTCGATCGGTATATTCCATCCTTGACTTCTTTTTTGATTAGTTGTGTTATTGTAATCATTAACGCGACAACGTTTGTATTAATATTGCCGCTACTACTGCCGCGCTAAAGCCCAGTTTACATTTACATGTAAAAGAAGAGATAAAAGCCCATAAAACTGAGTGTATTAGGGGGAGGGGGGAGTATATCTGTTTATATATGTTAATGAGAGACTGTATTTTGCTGGGGGAGTACCCATTCCTTTATTGAACGGAGTACCTGGGTAAGTCGAATAAAAGACTTTCCATTTTACCCGCTGTGACACAATCACACAGTCACGCGGAGTAATCATATACATATTAATGTATCTTAATATTAATACAGTCAAAACTTAGTCTCGATACAGTGAATTTCGTGCTGTAGTAAAGAATTCCTCTGATACAAAAACAGTATTATTAAGATATAATGAAGTTATATAGTAAGTCTCGTTATTAGCTCTCATCAGCTTACCTCCTTTTGCATTAAAGAGGATCATAAGCTCTTGCCAAATGAAATGGAAAGATTTCTTTATTGTTTGATAAATATACGTGTCATATAATATGATTGCTGAAAATGTCTGTTAATCACCAACAATTACTGTTTATGGTATCCCCCCTGGGGGAAGTAAATTACCTCCCCTCTGCCCCCTGCAGTGATTGCTAACTTTAGCAACTTTGCCAAATCTGATAAGCATACAGTGAGGATTGTCACCTGATGGTTTTTGACCAATCATAATACAAGAGCGCCGCAGAATACATGAATTTTCGACCAATCAAATAATTCCCTAGTAAATAGCAAAATCGGCTATTTACAGCTATTACTATAGCCAAAGAATCTTGAAAGCAATCGAATTAACTCTCAGAAAATATGCGCTTTTGCGTCCACTATGCCATCCCACATGATTGTATTGGTATTTTGCTATTCCTTAGAGTTACATCAGCTAGTTAATTTAGGCTGTGAATGGTATTTGATTGTGCTAGTAGAGGTATCACGTAAGCCTCGGATTTGTCTCTCTAACTCAAACGATTCACCGATAGTTAGTTCGTCATAAATTCTCCGTGTTTACTGTAATCTTTTTGTGGCGGGTTAATTCACAGATTCGTTTCTTGGGTCTGGAAATATTCTCTTTATATTCAACAATCTGAGCCTTGTTTGCCGTAGCACGCGTAAGAGTTGAAAATCTTATTAGACACACGTATTTTTATATCGAATTGTGTCACTTGACAATTTTTGAGGGAATTGCTAAAATTAATGGCGAAATATGACATGACGACGCGAATGCGAACTCGTCGTCACTCGAATGACAATGGCAAAAAAAAATTACGCCAGGACCACCCACACATTAATATTGACTTGTTTAATAATGGCTTAGATTTCAATAATTGGTCAGTGCTGCCAAGAATGGGCTTTCACGTTATCACTATTATAAATAGGAGTGGCAATCTGTCTGTTTACTCTTATATTTGACTGAAAAAAAGAAAGGAGATAAGTCCATGTGTCATACTGCTCTGATTCTACGCTCCCATTGCGATAAGGTAGTATTTATTCCATGAAATGTTGCCAATTTCAGCTTACATATGTAAATCCCCCAAGTTGGTAGTATGTTGAATTAAACGAGTCTAAATATAAAATCAAATAAACAATAACAAATCAAAACAAACAAACAAACCAAAAACCCTATGAGCATGGCTTCTAATAAAGAACCATAAATATTTTAGCATCACACACGTCATCTCAAAAAAAGAATTGTGACACGAAGCCGTATAATTCAAATTTATTTGGAATAGCAGATCACATAACGATAACGATAACGGAAGACTGTATGTTCCATGCCAGTGGACAGTTGTCCAATGCACCTACAGCCAAGACAAGTCTTTACATCTCGTCCCCATTGATATAAAGATATGCATTGATACATTCCTCGTCTGGAGGTTTAGAGAGCAATAGTTTCATTGTATAACAGTAGACATTGTTTTATATTGAGTGAGCAAACTCTTTTTGAAGAGTACAAGTAAACAAGAAACAACCAAATAGTTATTTCGTGAAAACAGTTTCGTAAATGGGGATAACTATTATCAAATATCCTCTGCCCCAGAAGCTATGCTGAGAGTATTTGATCATGGACAAATCTTTTGCAGTCTAGGAAGAGATCAATAAGTATACATATATACATGTTTCCAATACTGTCTGCGTAACAATATTAATAACAAACCCAATACACGTCGATATTAAAGATGGTTGTTATCTTATTTACTAAGGATCGGCTAGTATTGGAAGAATTTACGTGACAACAAGAAAAAGGACACTAGCAAGCCACAAGCAACAAGATCAAGCAAATGATAATACTACACATTGTTTGCCACCCGGAGCCATTGCTTTTCTCATTAATGCGATCTCTCACAGGCATAGTATTATTAATTCTTGGCCATTACATTGTCGTAATAATTGCCTTTGACATCCCTTCCTCTCATACTCTGCTTAACATTATATTCGAAACTCTTTCGATTTGTTCTTAAATCCTCGGCAGCGTCTGATAAATAAAAGAGAGAGAGAAATTGAGTTGATACCAAAGACGATAATTCTGTTGCTGTTATTTTGTGTCAATCATGCCCGACTTTTTTGTTACCTTTATGTAACGGATCCTCTGCATTCGGTTCCAAGAATAAATACTGTAGACCCACTATGACAGAATTCAAATTGAGAACTGGTTTCCAGTCTTCGCGCAGAATATTTAGACACACATTGCCGTCAAGGTCAATGTTGGGGTGGTAAATCTGCAAGAGAGAAAAAGAAAGATGAAAAGATTTAATAATTGGTGACTTTGAAAATTCGAGAAATATTCGTAATGCATTTCCTTTTACCTTTTGTATACCTCGAACTTTCGGCGGCTCATGTGGATAATTATTGTTTATATTGAAAGTGAATCTAAACACTCCTCCCTTATAAAAACCTTATGTAAAAGCATGCGAATGTGAGTTACTATCACAATAGACGAGAATGTACACAAGTTTTACCTTCATCGGGTTCTATGGACAAGTTAAAATTGAGCAAGTCTGATTCATCAGGAAAGCTCATTTCCATCGTGCTCGGAAGCTCAAGCTCTGTCAAGTCTGCAAGTGTGAAAAGTGATTCAGTCAGGGCAACTCGCTACTGTCTAAGTAACAATCTCGACTCTTTCAAGCCGTAGTAATCTCGGACAAGCACTACTATTACAGCATGTAGAAACTTGACAAACAAGGGCAGCCTGTTTGACTTTTAGAAATGCCCATACTAAGAGTCATTATGTACGAAAGGGAAATGACTACTGCTTGTTTGTATACCTTTTTGAACACGAATCTGGGCAGCACTGACTTTTGGCTTCTTCTTCTCGGCCTGTGCGTTGTCCTTCTTTATTGACCAGATCTTCAACATATTTACTAGTTACTATGCAACAAACAAGTAAGGCAGGAAGTGTAAAAAAAGAATAGAATAGAAGCTCCTTGGAAATCGGCTAGTGAATAGTTAAACCCTCGCAAAGAACTGTTTGAGTAATGTGTCTCATTTATATATGTTATGCACACAACAAGATCCATTATTCATGTGATTCAACACACGGCGCAGAAATGTGCCGCGATTGCATTCTGGCGCAGAACAATTCTATGTGCCGCTTCATCTTTTATTATTACGTAATAATTTACTTTTAAAGTCACATAATTTAAAAAAAAGTCACTACAAGTTGTGCAGCTAATGCAGTCAGATTCGAGTTCTAGCAAAAGTTGTGACGAGTGTTCGTTTAAGTATCAGTTTCAATTTACTGAAACTGTAGCTGTGATTGGCTGATCTCTTCTCTGTATCATACCTTTCCAATTCGAGACTCTGTGTTCAGTTAGTTCCAAGAAGTTTATGCATTGTCTTGATAACTTCTTCTGGAGAGCCGACATGCCATTCTGCCATAGTTTTCTTATACTCAGTACCAATAGTAACGCAGAAACTAGATTTTTCAGATACGTCGGATTTCCTAACAGCCCTGAACATATCTTCATCTGTCCTGTCATCTCCCGCACAGAAGATAAAATCGACGCCAGGAGTGTTTGAAATGAGACGCTTCACTATTTCGCCCTATAAATGATGGTATTCGTAAACTTGAACGCAACGAGGGTACTAAGACGTTGTAGCCTAAAGATGTTACCAACCTTGTTAACCTGTGTTGGTCTTACTTCCAGGTTCTTCTTGCCAAGAAGAATTTCTACCGGAAATTTCGTGAGTATGACACCTTCTAAATGATTTTGCAATTCTTTGGCTTGGAATGCGCTGTATATGAATACGTATTAATAGGTGAGCATCGAGAATTCGGATTGTAAACATGGAACTGGGATATTTCTTATTAAATTCAACATACCCATAGTCTGGATCTGCATTGCGATAATGCCATGTAAGCGAACATCGTTTATTCTCGACGAATGATCCTTGAGTTCTTTCTGTATAATATGTGAATATTTCGGTAACATCAGTCATCCAACTCATGTCCATGTCCTCAGTGAGATTGATCCATTTATTGGTTTCAGGATGCTTGAGGAAACTGCCGTGTTCAGCGCTGGTGAAAAATCGAAATGCAAAGTTGGTTTAAAATTGCATAAAAACACGTGACCAATTACAAATGACTCTTACCTGAGCCCAAGCCTTGGTACATGTCCCAACCATTCTTCCAATGCTTTCTGATCGCGTCCTGAAATTATCCAGACGTCATTCTTTGGATCCGACGATAAAGCCTCCAATGCTGTTAGCATATGAGGCGGCGGTAAAGCAGCGCTCGGTATCCTAACAATGGGTGTCAAGGTGCCCTGAAATCACGTAAAACTTGATGTTAATACGATACTTGTACAATAATTAATTAACTTCAAAATCCTTATTCCCGCGGCTTACGTCGTAGTCAAAGAGCAGTAACCGTTTATTTGACGAGTTGTAGTTATTAATCATGAGATCAGTGTTGAGATATGGCGTTGGTGTGGATCGTTCTGTCGAATTAGAATTTGCAAGAAGTTCTTTAATGAAAGACTGGGCCCAGAAGTCAGCCGTATATGATGAGACAAGATCATATAACAACTGCAATAAATTGTCAGCGTATAAATATATTTATCATAATCATCCTTTATGTAAAATGTAAAATACATACCATGTGTTTGACTTGTTTCTCTTCCCGAGATAAATTCAGTGCTTCGTAAATAGCTCGTGCAACCCCCTTATAGTCCCATGGATTGACCATGATAGCTGTACTGAGAGAGCCGGCTGTTCCAGTAAATTCACTTAGAATCAGCGGTCCATGGTTGTCCTTCTGACACACGATATATTCTAGTGACGTTGTATTCATTCCATCGCGTACTGATGTGATTAACCCAATATCAGCTACACTCATTAACGAATAATATTCATCTTGATCAATGTCGTTGTGATAATGATGTACAGGCGTAAACTCAAGAGATCCATATGTGCCGTTGATGCGCGCAATTAGCTCTGACGCTTTGACTTCCAGCTTTGGGGACTCGCTGAGGGCGGGGGAAGTGACTTGAATGAGAACAACCTGTTTCATGGTAACAAAATGAATATAGTTATCTATTAGAATAACTTTCACAAGGTTGCCATTTTTATTAAATACCTTATTACGCCATTCCGGGTAATCTTTGAGAAACTGTTCAAAAGCATGCAGTTTCTGTAAAACACCTTTGACCAAGTCTAATTTGTCCCTTCCGACGATAATTTTCTTTCCAGCGTACATTTCTTTAATCACTGCCATCTTTGATTGTACCCCAGGAAGTTTCCTAATAAAAATTTTCATATTCGCGTTAATTTCTGATCGATCAACTATCCTACTTATTATAGCAATGCGGATGGATGCTATACCTCCGTGACTCTACTCTCTGAGTATCGATTCCGATTGGGAATGTACCGACTGCAACAACTAATCCTTGAGCGCTTACACCACCGCTAGAAGTAGACTCGTATCCTAAAATACGCGTACAGTTGCTGGTGAAATGACGAGCATATGAATACGTCTAGTGTAATAAATTGTGAGTAAATAAATGCCTTGCTGCATTAATCAAGCTGACTCGACAATACTACCTGAAATCCAATTAAATTAGCACCAAGCATGCCATTAAGCACCTTATTACGCTCTATTATCAAAAATCAAGTTTGGGTTATTCAGTATTAACCGTCAACAGAACAGATAACAAGTAAACCGTATCGTGACGAATACGTAGTTACAACGAAATGGCAACAGTTGTGCAATACTCACTGGGTAGACATTTAAATATCTCCGAACTCGGAAATGGCGCATGGATAAATAAACCGATTATAGCGTCTGGTAGTCTTTTCCGTAACAACTCGGGCACCATTAGCAAGTGATAATCATGGATCCAAACTAAGAATAAATACAAGTAGCGTTAAACGCCGTTAAATGACAGTACAATCAGATACCCCGTTAACATAATGAGTAATTACCAATATCGCCTGGTTTATATATTTCTACTATCTTATCAGTAAATTTTTCATTCACTTTCACATATTGTACCCAATTTGTTGCTTCTTCTCGGCCGTCCGTGGCCTTGTCCCATAAAATGTAGTGAAAGAGAGGCCATAATACTAGAAATATAATTATGAATAAAATGCAGACAATAATAAGCAACTAAAAAACTGGCTATTGGTGTCTCACAAAGTAGAGCGAGTACAACACGATCATCATGAAAGAATAATGACAGATATGGTGATAAAGCGTTCAGCTCTTTCAATTCTATTGTCTTTTGTTCATTCATCTTTTTCTACTCCAATTCCATTGGCATAGCAATAACCAAGATTACATTGTGCATCAGCTTGCCCTTGTTCAGCTTGCTTTTTGATACCATTCAACTGCTTTCTGACCATCTTTTCCTATTCCAATTCCACTGTAACCAAGATATATTGTGCATTGCTATGCCAGTGGGAAGAGATGATCAAAAGGCAGTGAATGGTATCAAAAACAAGGAAATGCTCAAGCACTCTCAGTTTGTGTTATACCCAATGGAACTGGAGTACAGTGAAACCTGTCTTAACCGGAACCGGTCTCGGGTTTAACAAATGTTTATAATTGGAAATCTTCTTTATCTAAACGTTTACCTGAACCGGCCTCTAGCTAAACCAGCCAAAAACCAGCAAAACAGGGCCGGCGGTTTAAACAGGTTTCACCTGTAGTAATAAATGTTCAAAATTGAATGGTAATCTCTTCCTATTCCTATTCCTATTCCTATTCCTATTCCTATTCCTATTCCTATTCCTATTCCAATTCCAATTCCACTGGCATAGCAATACTAGATTATATTATGCATCAGCATGCTTTTGTTCAGCTGCTTTTTGATACCATTCAACTGCCTTATTACTACTCCATCACATCACCAACACGATATAACTGTAAAAACAACAATATATACCAGTTTTGCAGTATCCTTCGTAGTGTCCCCGATGCTCCACTTCATTCAAGAATATGGGATATACCTTGTCTTTCGCCAGCAAATATTCCAATTCTTTTTTACGTTCATCAGTCAATGCGCTGTGGTCAAGGAGGTTCCCGCTGCAATTGCCTAGTGAACTTGAGTATCCATTGATGTGTCCGTTCTCGTCCTGATTGATGTCACCGACGTAACCAATGACTAGATTATCCCAATCTTTGTTGAGTGAGCGTATGCCTGAGTACAGAGCAGTATGAGCATCACGGGGTCGAAGTAACCAAGTATAAGTGTCGTTTGTATTTGGCTGTTTCTGAAGAATAGGAGAATGAGGAATAAGATGGGTTACGTTTATAATTCTTTGGCGAGAGGCTGTCTTCGAATTAGTCGAATGTACACCGTTTGGCGAGTCGAATTTTTGAGCTACCATTGCTGCCGAATATTAATCGAGTATCAATATGTGAAAGATGGGTGCATTTTCTTCGATCCATACGCTTGTATTTATGCTGGGATGATTCTGATCTACTGATAAGAAGTCGGGGGTCAAAATATTTAAACGTTATTTTAATTTTACCATTATTATTATTGTTATCATCATAATGACGTATCATCAACATTTTAAAAACGTAACGCCACAAAGATTTCAGGGGGGCATCATAGGGAGATAAGTATAGATAAGCCTGCAGTATATGGCCTTTGAATTTTGTTATTTTTGAACAAAGATACGTTCCTTTTCATAGTCTTACCACATTCAAGAGGGGAAAAAAATTTTCCACGAGACGGCATATACTATAACAGCAATATAAGTATTTTATAATACGAGAATCATCCATTCTACCATCATTGATGCGATTTAGACTCTATATTAATATTGCACTTTTCATTAGATAATTATTTATTAATTGAGTCATATTATAAAATCTACATGTAAAACAAGCTTTATAAAATGGCTCGAGTCAGGATCAACCGTTCAACAATAAACGTTCTGCTTTTATATATGCAAAGTCTAGGCTTTACCCAAACCATACTCGAACCTTGTTCCAAAACGCGTTCGGCTTTGGTAAACAGATGATCTGACTGTTCAGAAGGGTACCCGTAATTATTATCGCTAGTTTGTTATCTCGCCGTGAAGCAGATACCCCCACTATGTATCCCATAATTTAACTCGTAAGAAAAGGACGTGCGAGAATGGAAAATTCGATACAAGTTGTTGGTTTTTACATTATTACATTGTCGCGTAAATTTAGTTACCAGAAAGTTACACAAATAATTGTTGGCCGCTACACTCGCGATTTTTATATGTGTGTCCGATTAAATAGTCGAAAAAAAGGGCGAAAAATTTTGTCCGAGTTAAGCCAAATCCGGCTTATCGAATGTCCGACTTATCGAGAGTTTTAAAAATGCAGAGTTTATTTGTAATTGAGATGAAGTTCTTACGCCAGCTAGATTAGCAAAATAGTAATGTTTTGCAAATATTGTTGAATGAAGCAGATGAGATACGTTTCTCGTAGTTAATTGTCTTTGAAAAAAAGCTTGAAAATTTTTCAGGTAATTCTGAAATTCTCCTAAACTATTTACTGTTACCAGCCAAAAATTCTTTCTTGCGTTAAGAAAACACTTAATTGAAAAACGAATTCTCATAAGAATTCAGGGAGACTTTCTTCATTGACCGTTATGTTAGAGAATTTGAAGAAAAGGGTTGCTCACTAGAAGGAAAAATTCTTAAATATGAGCACTGATATCGAAATCAGCGTCATTAGTAGAAAAATCTGCGGCATGTAATCGAATTGGTAGTACATTAATCACGAATTAGTTGCGAGAGCGCTATAGGCCAGCTAGCGTGTTGTTCAGGTGTTAGTTTATTATCATAACATTCATATCAATTAAAATACTACGATAAGTAAATAATCTATCGTCTCATAACAACAACAACAAGCAGCTGAAAATGATACTCTTAAAGGACGCGTCGAAATGAATTGTCTAGTATACACGTCAACTTAAAAACATAATCAGCAATATCGACTGTTTAGGATTAGTTACTTCACTTCATTATCTTTGGAGGCACTAACTGACGTAAGTTTCAAGCAACGTAAATGTGACGTCCAACCCGGAATTTTGTCAACTAGCTTTTAGCATGTAAATGCAGCTTGGAACAAAGTCCTCCATTATTTCCACTTATCACAATATTCTCCAATATGTGATAATTATCCAAGTTTTCATTTAACATGGATATCCTGGCGAGGAAAACCGTACTGTTTATACGAGATGATTAATACGATAATATGACACCAATGTCAAAGAAAATAGTGATATTTCAGTTTGAATCGGCAACACGGCAAATTAGGGTCAACCCATGTGTGCTCAATAAAGACCCACAATTGTGAATCAGCGATTCTCTGTGGCGTTCAGTCTTTCCCTGAACCCCTGAAATCCTTTCCCATGCACGCTTCATATCAATATACGAAAAAGGAAGAGATAAGGTACCCGACTCTTCTGTTATCGTTATCAGCTGACGATCTTCTTATCGCGATGTTAGCTGATAAGCTAGGCGATTTTCGGATTAGGCTCAGCCAAACTTTCTATCAAATCCCGTATAAGCATTCGTATTAGGTTATGTACGACTAGAGCAGAGGCCGGGTTCCCAGTGAAAAAGGCTCAACTGCGATCTAGAAGAATCGTTTGGCTCGCCTATTATCGTATCTACAAAGCTTTATCATGCCGAAGCACTCAAACTAGGAGACGTTCTCGAGGGCGATTTAAAAGGACTGCCACACAGTAAATCAATAAAATCGAACTCACACCCTCCTGTATGAGCACCGACAATGATTGAGAGTAATGTATTATCCGCCAGCAAGAATCTTCGAAAAGCAGAACGTACCTGTGGTACCTGTGGTACCTGTGCTGCTATTTACTCTCATAAACTCTAAGTCGGCATATTATGTACGTATGTCTTTTTATGGTAACACAAATTTCGATTGCTTTCTACACTCAAACAGATTTCATATGATGCGCGTTTAAGTTTAAACCATCTTTGTATTCATATATTTTGCTTGCCATTTTTTTAGTTACTATTGTGACTGGGCCACCAAGATTCTATGGAGTGCCTTGTGGACGTGATGGACGTGATGGACGTGACTATTATTATCAATTTAACGTTCTTTGTTTATGCCGATATCTCGCCCCGTGAACGAATTTGGAACTATCACGGAAAACTGCGAGTCTATTCGCTGGGATGACTGCAACGATGATACGAAAATGGGATACCAAAGGTCAGCTACAAGGTCTCTCAGAGAATGATGTTGTTCTGTGATCGAAAGGAATGTTAATGCTTAAAATTTACACAATAGCGAGAAACAAATTGAGGCTCTATGCACTTTACGGAGATGACCGGAATGAATTTGTAGAAATCTGCAACTGATAGATACCCCGGGTTAAATGCTATTACTATATACGTTACCCGCATCTGATAGATACCCGCTGCTATTCCGATGGTTAAATGCTATTACTATATACGTCACCCGCATCTATAATAATCACCTAGTTTCAAAGTCCTCGAACTTTCCATTTATACAATGTAGAAAGGAAAAACGACCGAGCTTTGGAATTGCACCCGTATGTATGAAGTGTGTTGTCCACGTTCGGTGCGAAAGTAATAGTAAGCATAAATGTGTTTTCTTTCTCTATGAATCACGTTAGAGCTCATCCTCCCCCAAACTAACAGAACTACCAGAATAGCGAATATGATATCTTTGTTTCGATTCTTGTTTATGAAATCGTACTAAAATATATGTTCAAACTGAAGTTTCACTTATGAGAGAAGAAGACACGTCAAGCACTGAAAAAATTAAAGAATGGAATGTTGAAACGCTCATTGATTTTACAAAAAAGCAAAAACTAGATCTCGATGATGACGATTAAACAGAAGATTGAAGGTTGCAAAAAGAATCATAAACATATCAAAGAGCGAAAGAAACGGTCATGTTAGTACAATATTGATAGCAACAGCCTTCGAGACGTTAACAGTTTATACCTATGATCGCACAACATTATAAAGCGGCGATTTGTTACTGAAAAATCACTTTAAGCATTGGCAATAACTAAAAGCACTGTCTTATTATAACAAATAAATAATGTAGCTATAGGATATGCATTTTTCATGAAAAGGAGACAATTCTAGTCTTAAAATAACCATATTAATGCTATTACAGCACAAGATCAAATAAATACCGTAGCTATATGAACAAAACATGGAATTACATAACTGCTTGATATGTTATTATTATGTCGTCATGAAGTTTAATGCCGTCAATATCGTCATTTTATACCTTAACTTAATCGGCAATTAAAATGCAAAAATGAAAATAATGACAAACTATACAACTATTGGTTGTTTCTGGCTTGCTACTAACTTTTTTTTAAACAGCTTCAAGCAAAAATAATTGTATTAGTTGTTATTATTCCAATGCTAATAATCCCAAGCACTAATACATTTTTAGAAATCGAATCACATGATAAAGGGAGCACCGATCCTTTAGGTTGTGCTGTTATATTTCACTGTTGCAAGTCCAACTCTTTCTCAATAGTAAGTTATATTTCCTGTCAACCAATTACTTCAAGCCATGGATCCATACTCTAAACATGCTCAAGAGGAAGCTTCCCCAGGATATTCCTATCATCAATGTAAGATAAAGTCTACAGTTGAACCACAGCAGGGCCCATTACAACCATGTACCCACAACGATGAGTGCTTTTTGAGCGACTTGTTATTTGCTTTCCAGATGAGAGAGCAGTCTGGAAAGTTATAATAACACTGTGAATTATGCATAAATAATAGCCCTGTCCACAATATATACATATATTAGTTATACGACATTAACCTTGTATATTTGACATGGCGGCTGTTATAAACTAATCCTTTATTATACTTAATATTAGATGACGACGCATCGTATAATCAAGGTGAGTATTGGGGGGACTGCTTTACCTAGTTAATATTATGGGAGAGCTCCAACTGGCAACCAATAGCTTAATTAGTAAAACTATTCAAAAACAAGATAAACGACGTGGTCAACGGCGGTCTCCATTGCAAGGTTATTCTGGCCAGCAAGATGACTCGAACGATGCATCAGCATATTCTGCCTATTACGGTGGTTATTCCGGCCACGAAGCCTCTGTACCGTACAACGAAGATCAGAATGCTCAAGCTATTGGGGGGATAAATCCGTCTGCTTCTCAGTATTCAGATGCCCCATATTCAATAGACAGTGGTAAACAAGCGTACGATAGTAATACGGGCGATTATAATAATGACGCCTATGGTGGATATGATAGCAAGAAACCTTATGGAGATGCATATAATGGAGACTATTATTCTCGAGAGGGCGGTAAAGAAACGTCTGCATACGCGTCAGCTAAACGTCCGGGATCATATGATGACTATGGATCAAGAGGATACGATGACAGGTCCGGTAAAGGTAATTAAAGAAATTGATTAGACACAAATATTTATGGATGCGAGAACTTTTATGTTGATGTCGATTGGTATCTTTTATTAGGGAACGCTGAAGAGCCAGTAATTCAGACTATCCCTGATACTATTTATATCTCCAACTTGAGTGAGGATGTTACAGAAGAGAAATTAGCCGAGTTCTTTGGAAACCTTGGAAGGATCAAATTTGATAAGAAGACTGGAAAGCCTAAGGGTACGATTAATAATATTGTATAGGATGTTGTAACGCTATCAAATGTTACATGAATTGCTTTGTTTTATGTAGTATGGATCTATTACGATAAAGTCACAAATCGACCAAAGGGGGATGGTAAGTCATAAACGTTGTCTTTGTATATATTTAGTTTTAAATCGTTCCGAAGCCTGACGATTGTTTTGCCTCTTGGCTAAACATGTAGCTACCCTGACATTTGATGACCCAGACTCGACAACTGCAGCAATCGACTGGTTCAACAATAAAGAGTTTCTTGGCCAGGTGAAGAATCATCAATTACAATTTGTCTAAACCTTAATAATGAATGATACACGACTAACTCGTGATACCGTGCATCCATTTTGACTAGACTATTAAAGTAGAAATGTCCGTACGGAAAATGAACCCTGCTTCGTTCAGAGGCAGCCGCGGTAGAGGCAGAGGAGGAGGGTTTGCACCACGTGGTGGCAGAGGAGGCGGCGGCGGCGGTGGTGGTGGTGGTGGTGGAGCAGCTCCGCGTGACGGAGATTGGACATGTGAATCGTAAGTACTGAACCATATGTAATTCACCGATTGCTTGCACTACAAGCATATCACTGATTTCTTTCTCTTCACTTTGTCTTAGTTGTCAATCCAATAACTTTGCAAGACGTTCGGAATGCTTTAAATGTCGGGCCCCACGACTCGATGCTGCACAATCAGATTCCTACAACTCCCGGTACAATTCGCATTCACCGTCTGGACGCGGCGGCGGCGGTGGAGGCGGTTATCGTGGGCGCAAAGGTGGTTATTCTCACGGCAATGGCAATAACAACAGTAGTCGTTACCATGATAATGATAGAAGTCGCGGATATCGTCATGGGGATAGCGGTGGATATGGTGGTGGCTATCAACAGGGTTATCAGCGGCCAGCTAAAGGTGAAGAGCGCCGTGACACCGGTCGGTTTAGGCCGTATTGAATACAAGGAGAAACTGCGAGTGGTTAATTGTGTGAGATGAGAGAGGTGGTTATAAGAGGAATTATTATAAGAGAAAGCAAGAGGCAGGCGTAATCGTGTCTGTCCTTGATTTTTTTATTTGTTTATTTTGATCATGTGATACGATACCCATCAGCCAGCTATGCACTCGGGGCAGTAAGGGGATATTTGAATTTATTTACTGATCAAAAAGGATAGCACCTGGTTGATCCGTTGAGGCATCATTGAGGATGTGCCTTGCGGTATACAATATATTGTAATATGTTTAGCATGGTTTTAGTGCATCGGGTAGGTATTGGGTATGTTCATTCACTATCACACAGAACAGGAATCCTGCGATTAATATCTGACTTAATATCTATGAACACAAATATCAAAGAGGCATCGGGGTTAAATTGAAATTGGTGACGGGTAGGTATGCGCGGATGAAAAAAAAACGTGTATGAGAATGATCCAGCATTAATTCGGCTTGTATACAGCGATGACCATAAATCAGAATCCCAGAACGATTCGATGGAGAGAGAGTGCTTGGAATGATTATCATGTTTGCGCGTCTACGTTATACGAGGGTTAGTTAGGAAAATCTGCTATTGTGATACTATTCATTGATAATATTCGCTATTGTCTTAGAGATTCCCGCAGCTGAAACAAAAATGACGACACGATGCTTGTATATTAGATCTATTACTATTGCCAAAATAAATCTATTCGTACTCCATAGTACGACGAAGGGTACCAATCGCCGAAAAGACTTATACTTCCTATAACTTTTTATATCCCATAACCAGTTAACATGGTTCCCCAAATCTCATTTCTTCCGGTTATGTTACGCGCCAATACCAAATAGTGATAATTTATAGACAACCGAAAAATTGATTGTCATACGATTCATGATTGCAAGTTCAAAAGGAATTTTTATATCCTAATCAATAGCTAGCTTTAAGGTTCTAATTGCTTAATGTGCTAGGAAAAATTATAAACGTACAAGTTTTACATTTTATGGCCCAGTAAACTACTATAAAATCAAGAGTGAAATTACACAACGAATGATTGAAGAGGCAGATCCATGCTTAAAACGCTTTTTTGATCAATTAGTCGAGGTTGTAAATAACCGTTCAGCTTATAATAAAACTGAAAAATCAATTGTGAGTTTATGCTACGTGTATATGATGGCTGGAATGAGAAGTTCGATTATATTTATTTATTATCAGAAGCATCACGTACTATAAATCCTATTGAGCGAGCTTGAATGTCGTATCACAAAACAAACCCCACCACCAAAGACGTTTTCAAGAATATACAACTTGAAAATATACGCAATTAAGCTTGTTCTTTGAAACCTTTTAAAAGTTTTATTAATTATTAACGAACACACTGCGCTAAATTCGCAAATTTGGGGTATTTTAAAGCTCGATCCCGCTGGTAACAAGCATTCGTACCATACTTTGCTATTTACAAGCTTTTATTATTTTCTGTTTACTGAGGAGGAGTATTTCCAATACGCAAACGTAATAAATAATACAGAAATCTTCAAATAGCGCGGCTAATTTATAGCGTTAAAAGATATATCACAAAGATCAGCCTTGAGCAAACGATGAGTAACATCCTTTTTTGGCGATAATAGCATTTTCACAAAGTGCCAATATGAGAAAAGAATAAATAAATGTCCGTTTTAAACTTTCGTTTTTCTTTTGTAGCACTGATTATGAAGAGTAAATGCCCGATTAACAGATCCTGACCAATATTCAATATTCGTCAGGATCCCATCCCCTCGCTCGCAGAAAATATACAGCTCTTGAGAAATTATAGATTTATTTTGAATACGTAACTTGGGAACAGGTACTTTTCGCGCAATCAGTCTCCCTAATGCATGCTCTTGGGACTGAGTTGAGGGCGTACATTTAGAGAATACAGTCGAACGTTACCGAAGGATTTTTACATAGGATCATACGATTTTTGGTCGTACGATTGGTTCGTCATACGATTTTTGGTCATACGATTTCGCATCATACGATTTCAGTAGTCATATCTGCACATTGCAGTATTATAGTATGATTTAGCTGTCATATTTGTGTGCCAATATTTTTGATCGTATGATTTCAGCCGTATTTCGTATCTACTGTATATTCATGTATTATTGTTTGTAAATTGAAATCGAGATATTATTCACACAAATCTCATTATAACGAATATTGCTTGATCCTAGACCTAACTTTGGTACCTCACTATACCGAATGTCTCGTTATACCGAATCATGGAGGCCTCGACACTTCGGTATAACAAGATGTTCAACTGTATATAGAGATCATGCATTTGGAAATCTTATTATGAATTTACGTGACTAATATTTCAATGCATTCTTTGATAAGTAATATCACGTGAGTGCATTTACAGAATTATTTTTCATATAGCGATCGATAGTAATAGCCATGAATACGGAACCTATTGCACGTGCAGAATATAGAGGATGTGCATTTAAGCACTAGTCGTGCATTTAGAGAGACTGCATTCATGTACAGGCCCAAGTACTAAATTTGGTAAATAGAGAAATTGTTCTATACATTGCTGCAGTGTCACAAACCCTTGAATATACTGCAAATCCTCTTACAGGCCTGTAAGCATACATGTGCGTTTAGGTCGTTGCATTCTTTATATCTCACAGAGGTAGGTGGCCTTTGTTTTCTATGCTTGCTGTTCTAGCCGAGTTTGTAGACCAATGTACTCTTGGCAACCGTCCTATTGATATTGGCCATGATGTCACGAGTATTGCGATTGGTTGAAAATATGACTTAACCTGTCAATTGAATTTGATTTTCGATTGTTAACAGTTTAGGAATGGTGTGATTTGCCTATGAATGATTTGTGCGTTGATTTGTGCGCGTTGATTTGTGCGCGTTGATTTGTGCGTTGATGACCGATCCCCACTTCCAAGACCACGGCTTAGTGCTCACGACTTTTGAAGCTAGTAAAAAAGAAAGCAAAAGAGTAGTACTGTTGCCCAAATCTGTACAATGTCGTTCGTTGGTATTGGTTCTATAGCGGGTTCTCGTCTCTCAAGTCAAATGAAGGGGTCTAGGTATCCGGTTAGTATTGTCGTAATCTTGTGTAATTTACACTCCCCCAAAATACAAAAATGTCCAATCACAGATCTACGACATTCCAAGATTAACCTTTGTTGGCACATGTTACCGTCATACGCACATGCCACTGCTAATAAAGTGTCTCAAGAACACACGTTATCGCATTTCGTAGTCTCGAACGTAATTACAAACATTTGATATTTCATGATTCTGGGGGCCGTGCATCTGCCGCATTTTCACGCGAAAGTACGACATTCAATCCCTGAGCACTTTAATAAAAGCACATGAAATTTCAAAGGGCTTGCTGCGTGTGAGTAAAAATGAACGCCCCAACAATTTGATCTACAACTTTGTCAATCTGGTACTAATATATATTCTGACTTGTTTCTATTAACTCGGCGACACATGCTTCCGAATGGAAACGTCATGAATATCAACGGCTAAATTGTGGGCTAATTTCATGTGGCATGAGGTGACGGGATGAGATATGAAATTCCGGGGATGGTCAAGCTCTATAAATTGACGCCTTCTGTCCTGGCCAGAAGAAGTTATCGACTAGTAAACTGAAAATCGATACAACTTTAGAAAAATAATTTCTCACTTCCCCAACTTGAAAATACATTCCCACAATGTCTTCTTCTTCTTCTTACACTTCTTACATGAATCAAGTGAAAAACGCGATCGAAACTGGTACTAGAGAAGTTCGTCATTTGGCGACTGAAGTTGGAAACGAAGTGAAAAAGACGGCCGAAAATAATAAAGTCAATTCGCCTTTACCCGCGGATGTTGGTTCTGAAATTCAGAAGGTTGCTACTATTCTAGCTGGCTTTACTGGTAAGTTTGCAATACGTGACAAGTCATTCAGACACGGATTCTTTATCTTCAGTTGGACACTATCGTTTAACTTTAATATTTCCTTCACATTAGACCCAGCTAATGCAGAAGGCGGTCTCGATAATGTCATACCAGCAGAGGTTGTTCGACATGCGAAAGGTCTCGCTGTATTCACTGTCGTCAAAGCTGGTTTCGTATGGTCAGGAAGAGTAGGCTCAGGATTGGTTATTGCTAGATTAGAAGACGGGAGTAAGTATATTTGTATTGCTTGCTTTGCAATTATTCATCTTCTCGGACCAGTACATTGACTAACGTTCGATGTCTCTTTTCCTTCCAATTATAGATTGGTCTGGTCCATCATCCATCAACATTGGTGGCGTAGTATGTATTGAATCCGAAGATCTTTACGTATTTATTTCGAATGTCACATACTTACATTTTCATGTTTCCTGGGATAGGGTTTTGGCATGCAAGTAGGCGCTGACGTAACCGATTTCGTGATTGTTCTTAATACACCCGACGCAGTCAAAGCCTTCAGTCGTGGCGAGAACTTGACACTCGGTGGCAATCTATCAGGTGACTACTCTTTGGAAATCTTTCAATCAGCAATATCTGATGAAACTCACACGCGTTTGCATCCTATCTATTAGTATCTGCTGGTCCTGTTGGTATTGGCGGAGAAGTCTCTGGAAGCGTAGCTGAACGTGCTCCTCTGTGGTCATATAGTAAATCAAAGGGACTCTTTGCTGGTAAGTATCGAACTTCTACCCTATTGATGAATGTATCAAGTATCATGTTATCGTTTTTTTAAATCTGGCTTTATACTTTCAGGCATATCTGTTGAGGGTACGGTTATAATCGAGCGCAAAGACGCTAACAAGAAGTTCTACGGAAAAGAGGTTACCGCAACACAAATTCTCTCCGGCGAGGTTGAAACTCCACCGGTCGTAGCCAACGTCCTTTACGAGGTCATCAAACGCGCCGAATCACGCAAGACAGAAGATGCCGACCCCTCGTCTTAAGTGTTGATATAGGCAAAAGGGATATATCGAGTGAATTATAATATAGATAGTAAAAAATAACATCATTGCAGTTATTATAACTAATAACAATCAAATGTTACTCGACTGCAGTATAACTTTTTGATATATTTAGTCATTATTTTTAACACAATAAAAATTTAATTGCTTATTAGACAATACCACAATCTTGAGTTTGCTTATGGCACATAAAAATTATGAGAATGGTCACTGCGATGGCAATTCCATACGCGTTGATTATTTGGACTCGGCAATGCATTAAGATCGAACCCGATTCAAGTTGCAATCGATATGTTAGTTAAAAATGCCATTCATCATCAGTTATATTTGATCAAGCGTGCCCCATATACTGTATATGCACAAAGAATGTGCACAGAATGTTCATTCAAGACTGTAAAAGTCCAGGACATTGAACGCGGCACTACATACGATCCCCAACAATAAAGTAGATAGTATTAAATATTCTATTTTATAGCCATCCGACTAATGAGTGCCGGTTTGGTTGATCCATTGTAAATCTTCTACATCCCATCGCTCATCCATATTGTTTCACATGATATACCAAAATGAAGGAAAGTGGTCCAATACCAACAAGCAAAAGTATGGGTGAAATAGAATGCTAGACATGAATCATGGTATATAATAAACATCTGTGTTAGTTCATAACACTGGATATTGGTTCAATTCAATACATACAATTAACGCTTCCTCCAGAAACACCAATAACTCGTTTTCCTAAGTCCGTCACATTGCTCGTTTCTTACCGCCTTATCCCCCCATCGTATCCTATAGTGTTTACAAGCTATTAAGTACACGACTCTTGCTGAATATACACGGCACCACAATGACCACCGGGATGCGCTCTTCGTATAGTCGCGAAATAATAGTTAGGTTCAGACCGTTCTCAAAATATTACGAAATATCCACAACCACAACTCACCGACACTGTCGCCAAGTTCTCTTGGAAGCAATCGGCGGCATCGCCAGCCATTATTCTCAGAAGAAAGGGTGAATTGTTTTTCTGTGGTTGTAGTGTGCAGGATGTTTGGTTGTTTTAGATGACATCTCGATCGCTCGGATCCAATTTCCACGTTAGATAGGACGTAAAAAGGGAAAAGTCTCTGATCCATCATAAATCCATATGACAATCATGCATTATGAACAGCGGAAACGTTGGTAATGCAAATCCATAAGCTAAATATCCCACATTCGCACAAATTGACATTTCTTCATATGACGTGAAGTGGTCTTTAAACTCAAGATCGAGTTTATGGGATGGGCTAAGAGAATGTTCTTGTACATCACGATGAAATTCGCCTGTTCGTAGTTGCGTAACATGCAAAATCCGATACTGATAATCATTTAGCAAAAAAGGAAACCAAAATCCTACATAAGAAACGTCAATATACTGGTTTGTTTGTTTTTTACCAAATCGATCACAACAGTCTACAAAACAGCTTTCTATGTACTTTAACGTGAATCAAATTTGACTATTCTCACATTGACAGTAATGTAATAATTGCACTTTCCTATAAACATAACTCTGCTTACACCAGCTTTCGCGTATATTCTGTAACAATGTTTTATTTTATTACCGGAAACTTTACGACACATGCTGCATGTATTTGTTGTTTGTTATACTGTATTCATTTCTCATTACTGAGATTGTTCGAAATCATAATAAAACATCAGCGCATCAACCAAATCTTCATGATCACGTAATCTTCCAGCCTTTGGGATTCGACCGATTTCCTTAAAGCCCTTTCAATTGCATAAGACTACTTCAGAATACTCCACGAGCAATAAAAATCAATATTCACAATACCAGATATGTACACTACCAGATCTCTCCAAATCTTTATGGAACCAATGTTAGTCTCAAAAACAAGATTAAACACGGAAGCTTTGTATCCCAAAGCCGGAGCAATCTTAATGAATGCGCGTGCCATTGCTTTACCTACACCATTATTGCGATATTTCCTAGGAACCACAAATCCAGCATTACATATCTACAGGAGCAAAAATGTACGTATATATGGAGTAATTTTAAAGAGCATGAAAACAAAAAGGTAATTTCAACTATTCTCCATACATGCGAACATCGTCCCGGATAATTGGGTTTTACGTAGAACATTCCCAAGACATGTTCGTCTCTCCACACATCTTCATTACTAATGTCCTTTACAGCAACGAAAGCATCGTGACTCAAGAAATAATTCCTAAATTCGTCAACATTCAGTGGAAACTCGTGCGGATATGTATTCCCATCTTCAATAATTTCGTTTAATAAAGAGTTCAAGCGAGTTATTGATGAGGAGGGAGTTACAGAAGTAATCAGAATGGGAAATCCTGATTTAAGGGTTGAGCGGATAGGCAGAATATTTGAGGGAGTAGAAAGAGGACGTGGAATATTCTCGTTCATTGGAGATTAATGGCGAGTTACTGCTTTGCCCCCCCAATGCAATAAATCTTATCACATGATGAAGATCTGTTTCGTAATTACTATATGTGGAAAGAAGTAAATATATTTGCCCAACAATATATCACGATTGGGATGACCTTCTGGTAGAACTTATGTCGCTCCTCAAGTGCGGAAATAGTTTCTGACCCGTTTATCTCCTAACATACGGAGTAACATTAACCTTAGTAAAATCCGCCGACATATAGTTTATACATTTTATTACTGCGTCACGTCGCAAGTGGTCACGTTATTATTTTTATTAATTGAATTTTTCTGTCGCTGTACAACAATCATCACGAACAATAACATAGTCGCTCCTGTTAAACAGAAGCCGTTCGTGCGAAATGGTTCAACAGAACATTCGGTTTACGTATAAATTTTGGGGATAAAATATGTGGCTAATACTAATGCACCACTATATTGTACGTAGCTATTATTGTGTCATGTGACCAATGGGAACTGATGCGCGTTGTATTAAGCATCCGCAGCAAACTAAGATTTTATTATAAAAACAGCAATACATCAATCTTAAATAAAATATTTGTTTACATGGTATTCACAAGCAAAGTCTTTTTTGGCTTCACAGCTAAATTGCAAAATTCGTAACGGCCAACTTCACAATGCAGTTGCCTTAATTAAAACCGAAAATTTATTCTCCAGGCATCGAAACGACTATACGAATTAGATCCAAAATTTTCATTATCAAAATGACATTTGAAATTTATAAGTTACTTGGCAATGGAAAGGTACAATAGAAAGTTGAAGAACAAACCAAGAGGAAAAACCAGAGAGGCAATTCAACGTTGGATTGACGAAGAAAGAAATTTAATTTGCATCAGAGGGACCAAATAATAGGTTATACTCATCAATGGCTTTGGGACCGGGTATTTTCCTCTTATGCAATCACTCTAATGCTTTATGATTGAGTTAAATTATTGTTGTCAAAGCAGCGAAATGTGAATCAAAGCTCAACGGATGCGCTCAAGCAGTCTTTTATCAACACGTTGACGACTATAAGAACGAAAACATTTATCTACGAATTGCTACTCTAAAAAAATTGCTGATTGGCGGGTTGAATATTCCATAATGAGGGCTGATGCTTGCCATAACATCAAATTTATCACTATTGAAGTTCATCAGACTTACGATGGTCTTTCATTTATGGGGTCGTTTGAGCAGTGGAGGCTTTAGTGGATCTTGGAAATATATTTTCATAACACTAGTTTGGACCTTAGAGATTAAAAGGGCACAATTGTAATTTTAATACGTCAGGGATAATTATAATGCTCTTATGAGCATCTTGGCCTATGGTGAAAGTACTGTTTTCTTGGTATTCTACCGTCGAGAATAATATATTTAATGCAGCTGTAAGACATGTTCTGTCCCAAGTAAAAATGTTGAATTATACCATAGAAATCATGACTGTCTCCCAAAATGCAGTTGCGATTCCTTTTTCCAGTTTCGTCTGCATTATAAATATCTCTAGGATCATATTGAAGCAACAACATTCTTTCTTCTGACAAGGTATCAAGCGGAACACTAGCAGCCTCTCCTTGCAAACGGTAGTAGGAAAGTCAGAGTGTCCAAACTTATTTACCATACTCCAAGGTGGGGGGGATATAACAATGAACGAACAGTATAATCGTATTGAGTTCACAATTGTTCAACAAGACCACGGAAACTCAGTTCACAGCCACAGGAGGAGAATATAAGACGTAAAAGTAGTATTCGGTTGACTATACACGTATACATGTCAGTTTTGTCATTATCTTCCTTTTGCGTCACAGTCGAGGGGCAGATCCGAATCCTCACTTTCCTAATTTGTCCTTGTTATCTGATATTGATAAAACCGGTATCTATTTACTTTTCATTTGGGTTCATTTACTACATAAGATTTCCCGCTTTATTTTTGTGTGAAGACAAGCCTTTGCATAAAGATACTACATTAAGGCCCTTGCTCGATTGACACAAAAAAGTTACTCTTGTTGTTTAGTAGTCTTTTACACCTACTTGTATTTAAGCGCGGAAGTAAACACAGAGCACAACACTTAACATGGCGCAACGCTTTATCGACGCAAGGAACATGACGTCTGCCGACGAGTAAGCATCCAATTAAAAGTTTCTTTGTCTCTATAGCACACATTGGCATCTTGTAAAAATAGTTCGCTTTATTCTATCTAATGTGGCATAGTTTTGTAGGAAGAGTTTTTGAACATATTCGAATATCCATCTTATAAAAGAGATATAACATTCATTATTGATTGCATTTGTTATTAGTTACGATGAGTTGAATGAATCCCATGATAAGAATATGGTATTGGTTAGAAGTACTTTTGAATTTATAATTCCGGGCCCATTCAATACAGCGAATAGAATGTTTTCTCCCCCATTTGCTACTTCAGAGAACATGTTTTGGCAATTAGAATTCTGTCCGGTGAGTTACACAAATTAGCCAAATCATTTACTTTCCCATACAGAGCTAGCCGACATCTTGCTAGAAAGTATATCAATAAATTTGTTTCTTGTCCCCCCCCCCCCCCAACTAATTTCTGTAGAGTGGAACATCAAAGGACGCCCATTCGGCTTTTCTTTATTTAAGAGCCATCCCAAACGAAGAAGAACTCAAAGTACCACAGTGGCCAGCGCGAAATCAATTCTCGCCGAGGATTTACTTATCGCACCATAACGGACTCTTTAGCAGAGAAAAACAACTCAATAAAGAATTCTCGGGAACTTCTCGTAAATGGGGTAAGACAGACATGGTGTTTAATTTGCTGTATATCTCGCCACTGGCCGTATTGTCGGCATTTCGTAATTTCCTATTCTCTTTCTCCTTACTAATACACTCTTTCAATCCACGCCTTTCATTCAATCTGCTCCCATACTTTTACCTGTTAGGTAAGCCAATATGTAAAACATCCAACTTGATCAACTACGACAGCATAAAGATAGGGGTCACGTTTGAAGGCGCAGCGTTTCGGTATGAAAAGCAGTCGATTCCCTTTCCTACTCGTGCTGTACCAGTTCAATTGATCAATGCATGGGAAAAGCAGCTTGACAGTCCGCATAACACTGATACACAGTTCAATGTTAATGGACATATAATATACGCGAGCAGCATTATACTGTCGAACCGTTCAGAATACTTTTGCAACATGTTTCAAGGTCATTGGGCGGAGTCTATAATGGCCAAGAAAAACGTTGAAGGAAGGAAGGAATTGAATGGGAGAGATAGAGAAGGCGGAGGAGTAAATATAGAAGAGGAGAGTTTTCCGGTGGAGAAACCGATGTATATTATTAATGTAACAGATTGCAATCATGAAACTTTTCACGAAATGTTGAGATTCTTGTATGTATTTGCGGGCGCATATTATTTCTGGTGATCTAGTTTAAACAACCAATTTTCTTTTTTATTTTCCTGCTCCATTCATGCTAACTTTTCGACCTTAAAACTTGCAGATACACGGATCGAGTAACAATAGACAATACCTCAGACTCTAAGCGTACGGCATTTGACATATTCTACATAGCCGATAAATACCTCATCAAGGAATTACGTGAGATAGCAAAGCTCGATATTGTTGGAAGGCTGTCCGTCGATTCGGTTACAAAAGTTTTGTTTGAGCATGTGTGGAAGTGGGAAGATTTGAAAAAAGATGTGATCGTTTATTTTGTCGAGAACTTTGATAAGATAAGGGACACTGATTCATTCAAAAATACTGTTCTTAGTGGAGGTGAATATTCGCATTTTGGGCCGATTTGGTTAGAAATTTTTCCCTTATTGCGTCTTTCGAAAGACGCCTAAGCTGGGATGCATACAGAACAGTGTTTATTGATTGTAAGATAAGTGCGGCCTCCAACGATTAATGTTTAATTAACATAAAGTGATTAATGAATTCTTAATGTTAAGGGATTCGATTAATATTAAAACAGCTTTTGATTTAATAAAGTGTCTTATCTGCTCATTCATACTTATTCAACTTCCACGTATAGATGCAAAATTGTCTATTACGTCGTGTTTGAAATCATCTAACGTATTAGTCGACTGCTGTGCAAACTGGGATTGAGTAATGTTTTCGGTATTCAACTTTGAAAAGAAGGGCTATTCGAAAATAGCGAATTTCATATATACGTTGACTCTAACTCGACGTGGCAAATGACCAATTATAATATATCAACAAAATCTCTTGCGAGCCAACAATTGACAGCTATGTATCTAGTATGTGGGATAGTTTCCAAATTCAGTTTTTCCCTTAACAATAATCAGTTCAGTTATCATTGTCTTCGTGATAAAACATCCATCTAATAACGAGGACACTTAACAACCAAATGAGAAAATTGGAATTTTCACTTGCGGGCAAAGACAATATAATGTGTCTGGTATTAGATAGGCATCGGGAAAATTCTCTGAAATCAGCATTAGCTTAATGACGCGTAAGTCGAATTGATAGCGAGTCTCGGGTATTACAATAAATTATTATGGATTGCGCCCCATCTACTTTATAAATGTCATAATACGAGCTATTTTCAACTGCAATTCATTAGCCACATAATATTTAACAATATCAAAGTAAGTATAAATTATTGACCTGGTCCAACTGCAATTGTTTTGTTTCCTTGGCATGCTCTATTTCCAGAGATTCACGTTCAACTTTATTCCAGAGTCGATCGATCTTCGCGTTCTTACTTCGATGATTCTAAAGAATAGTACATTTATTATACATTTGTTAATCTTGTCTCATAAAAGAAAGGAAACCACTGGAACCACTGGTGAAGCAGACCACAACGGACACGCAAGACCATAAAGATGCCCACCGTAATTGTGTGAGTTTTACGGACTATTGAAAGTCTCCCATACTACATTTTGGTAGACCGCAACGGACGCGTAAGACCATAAGGTAGGCAACACGTAAGATGCCCACCGTAGTTTTTACCCCTTATCGGGACTATCATAGGGCTGATATTTTTCTTTGAATGGCCGATTGTTGATTTCCAACATTTTCTCGTTGATATTTTGCTCTCATCCAAGCTCGTAATGTATCTGGTGAATTTATAGCCGGATTTCCTTGTACAAGACCATTATTTACAGGTACTGGAGCATATTTTCCACCCATCATAGATTTTAAAATATTACACTTGACTGCATCGTCAAAATCTCCTGCATTTGCGTTCTCAAGAACCGTCATATGTCCTTCAAGATATGCCCATGATTGAATAACTTTATCCAAGTAATTATCAGGTGGTTCTTGGTCTGTATAAGGTTGAAATTGCCTACTGGCCTTAATTATGTTCCACAACTCAGTTGGGAGAAGGATAGAGGTATTGAAGACAAACTGAATTTAGTTAGTTGATGAACACAATGCCAAAATTTTTTTCAATAACTGAATTAATAACAATTGTAAGACTACATGCCTATGACAGATAGATAGGTCAATAATTTACAGTATGTCAAATACGGTGTGAAGAAAATTATACAAACGATAAAATCATATATAGGAGTACCCGTATATGAAAGATTATATAACGGTTCCACCGAATACGAAAAGCAATGCATTTCTTGGAGATAGGTTGCAATTGTGGTTTGTTCAAAAAAATTCCGGGAGAGAAGTTTGCTGAATTACATGAAGCGTTTCAAGCTCTCTCTAGATCCGAACAAGATAACTGCAAGTCGACGTCTTAAAAAGAACACGCGTACTAATAAAAGAACTTTTTATTATTGACGCCTCTACGTATCTAAATATATTGGGAACTGGCCGCATAATACCGTGGGTTCATAGTAACATAAAAAGAATGCCGCGATGGATAGACCAAGATAACCAATTTTCTCGAAAACTATGCCGAATACATTGATTACCAAGTCCTGGTAGAAACATCAACCGAATTACTCAATCGCTTACACTCTTTGCCAGCTGAAACGAGTTACAAGGCGGTCTATCGTGATTTTATTGCAGGTCTGTCTCGAAAACGATAGCACGTTGAAATTGTTAAATATGATGCGCTGACACCAGTTAACGCCTTATATTCAAATCATGACGAATTTATGTGATCTTATACATCACTAAGCTCAGAAAGGAGAATATGAACGTGCTTTGCTAAGATACAGATGAGTCAGAGACTCCAATTCGATTAAAAAATTGATCATTATTACTAATTAGAAATTGTTATAAAAAGGTTAGCTATCCAGTATAATTTTGGGTTCGAACGTTCAAAACATAAAAGTTCCTAAAATGTAATCGTTCGAAAAGTTCTCTAATTCGGACGCGAAAAAATCAAATGAAATATCAAATAAATATATTTACCAAAAACACATTAACACTCTTTTATTTAAAACCCTTTATTGCCATGAATGTCCTGCTGCTCAGATGAAAGTCTTAATGACTATTATTCTAGCGGCAAACTATTAGTAACTTGGTAGACTAGCATGTTTGAAGTAATAATACTATTTATTTTTTTTGTTGCCTGGGAAAATATATCAGATCCATGCAGAATCAGTGAACACAGAAGGGAAAGGACACTAACTGTAAGCACTATTAGGCATTGGATTGCTGCATTCAAAGATAAAGACGAAGAAAAGGCTTTAATTGTGTTGAAAACATAGAAAGGCAGTTCAGGCAATTGTTGATGGTATCTTTAAAGAGGAATATGAACACTCTTTCCAGAGTTGGCAGAATTGACAACAGCATTGCACAGAGTTTAATGGAGAGTAATTTGAAGGAATAAAATAGTTATTTTGATAGGTATTCCAGAAATTATAGAAATAAAAGCCCACACGCAAAACTTACACTGTATATATCAATATTAGAAGTATGTACATTTATATCTAATTGTCGATGTGTGTTACAAAATCAAATTGTACTACAGGGACTGTATTTTTCCCGTGTCACTTTGTTGCAACATACTTTATATTAGGGGTGCCACAATTCAAATTTCGTGATCTAGTCCACCAATCTTTCTTGCATATTAATATTGATATAACACACTCGTCATGTTTTTGTCGTTCACCTCTTCTAATTGCGCAGTCCTTAAACGAACAAATAAACCAGGATGGCCTCAAAACCCAAAGCTGACCCAGCTGTCGCGACACAGCAAATAAACCGAATCAAAGAATTAAGTGGACAGCTGACTTCTCAAGCTTTTAGCGTGAAAATGATGGGTCAGAATGCAAAGACATATAAAGCAGACTGCGTCTCCTTTGCTAATAGAATCCAGCTAACATCCGAGAGGGCTGCAAATTTTGCTAAGAAAATTGAAGAAGACCTACCAGAAGTTGTTGCTATGAAATATGATTTGGAAGCTGCCACGGAAGAATTAGAGAAATCTAATCGTGAGTTTATTATTACAAATTGTAGAGAAAGTTGTCAAACCTACTGTTGGTTATTACTAGTCACAATTACCGTCCTAATACCTTAAACCGCTGTTAATTATACTTTCTATTGATTCCAAAATGTTTATAGAAATATTTCTGCAAATCAAGATGTTTATTCAGCAGAACCAGCTCCCACCATTCCCTAATAAAGTGGTAAATCAGGCTGAAGACTTTCGTATTCAGCGCTTGATTACAGATTACAACCGTCGCCTAGATAATTGTGTTGGTAATATATCAGTTGCATTTGCATCGCACAAATTGCAAAGGTCACTTACAATTGAGGAGGAAGAAGAAGTTCTTAAAACTTTAAAGACTGATGTGGAAAAAGAGTTGGCGAAACTGGAAGAACTGAAAAGCTTGAAACAAGCTGGTGGTGATGATGCAAAGAGTCAATGGTTGAGATTGGCTGTTGAGCAACAGCATTTGAGGTTTATACCTTTTGATCAGATTAAGGTTAATAATTTCTTGAGACGTGGAGGGTATGTATAATTATAATTAGTCATGGCTGTGCTTAATCATGTATTTATTGCAAATTATATTGTCCTTCCCTGACTTGTTATTAATTTGTCAATAGTTTTGGTATAGTTTATCAAGCTCAATGGGATGATACACCGATTGTTCTGAAACAGCTCTTTGACCAAAAAGATTTTGTTCAGGAAATTCGTCTTCACAAGAGAGTTCACGATGGAGATTATATTGTGAAATTACATGGAATTACCAAAGATAACGACGGGAACTTGGGCATGATTATGAAATATGCAGCACATGGCAGTCTAAGGGATTACTTAAAGTCGCATGCGAGTAAACTAACGTGGTATCAGAAAGTTCAGTTAGCCAAACAGATTACTATTGGTTTATCTTTTATTCACAGAGAGAGAATTTTCCACAGAGTATGTCGCAAATATCTAATTCTTAAAAGTTTCGTACGTGTATGGATAATTACTCATACTATCATTTAATACCCCATTATCTTTAACTATCGATTTTAGGACTTTCATAGTGTGAGTAAATATAACATTACCCGAGTCTTTATTCTTTTCAATGTCGCCACTCACTAGATGTCGGATTTCAGGGCAATATTTTAGTAGATGAAAACGGAGGCCCGATGATAACAGATTTTGGTCTTTCAAGAGCCGATCAAGTCGTGGTTCCCTCCGGTCGCTCTTCAGAAAGTCCAGTATATGGCCTAGTAGCGTACACGGCCCCGGAAAGACTCAAAGATTCTTCATTGCCATTTGATGAAAAATGTGACATTTACTCACTTGGAGTAGTATTCTGGGAGATTGGATCAGGCCAAAAACCATTTAAAGAACAAAACGATATGTCATTGGGAGTGAATATAATAATAGGTCAAAGGGAGAAATTTGGAAAAGGTGTGCCTCTGCGGTACAAGGAATTAATAGAAAAATGTTGGCATGACAATCCCAAAGAAAGGCCTAGTATGAGAGAAATTCAACAAGTTTTGAGCGACTTGTTGCACGATATGAAGGAACTAGGGAGTGAAAATGTGAGCTGTTTGGAAGAGGATGAAGACGACGAATTTTATGTCACAGCGGGATTGGGTAGTTATAAACTCACCGAGAGTAAGAGTGAAATTGACACTTCAGACGAATTATCTGGTTCGTCGTCAACCAAATATGTCAACGCACTAGAAGATTTGACAGAGAATGACGATTCCTATTGTAAGTAGATTTCTGCGTGTTATTTAAAGAATCGTTGCTATAATCGATTGACCAACATTGCCTTTTGTAGATTCAAATGCTTTGGACGTTTTCATTTGATGAAAATTGTATAACTTTGGATCGTCGCATTTTCTTATCTTTTACCCCGATACTCTCTCAATTACTTATTATTTTCAAGTAGTGAAAGTTGACGTCGCTGAAATATTAAAATATAACTTATTCTATTGTTTATTTAATACAATTGCTGTAAACATACCGGACATAACTTGACGAAATGGTAAAAGACTGTTATCCGATCGTTAATTCTCAAGTGTTAGCTGAAAACTAACATTTCACGTGAAGTGAAATTATTTCATTCGGTCGCCTCTACAATATATAGTATGAAAGGATTTTCAATTATTCCGATAGCTAGACCATAAGGTTTTTGCGTCGGGTAGTAGTCTCGGATAAGTAAAATTTGATTTTTATAGCAGATTCGATAGTACACATAGTCGTCAATTTGCGAATCCGTAATGAAAAAGTTATTATACGCAATACGCAATACGCAATACGCAATACGTAAAATGCAGCAAAGGTAATACGCGAATAGTAAGTAATACGTGAAAAAATACACTAATTATGCGCAAGTACTTTCCTAATACGCAAATGAAAATAACACGAGGGATAAAATGGATCATGAATCACTGTCATTGCAGGTAATGGTCTAACCATAAGACAGATCACAGCATATATTAAGATAATCTGCTACATGCTCTTGGCCTTAATCCAATTATTGAACTTTTATGGGTGGACTTGAGGTTGCTGTTCGCCCTGCTAAAAGACACGAATAAACTAAAGATACAGCACATGTTTGACGAGTTACAACCGTCTGATTGGTCAATCAAATATTATTATCTATTAGTTAGTAATTTCAAAATGGAAAGATAGATCTTTTAAGTAGGTTAAGAGATGCGTCTATAGTGAGAGTTTATAGTTGTCAAGAGCAAGATGTATGTAAGTCGAACTATTGTCAAGTTTAATGTACATTTAATTAATAGTATCAAAGAATCAAATACATGTAATAATATTAGCACTACTCATGCAATTTGAACTAAAATATAGCTATACATAGACGTTATGATGTCACTATAAACAGGTTAGCATGTCAAGACAATTATCACTTTCACGCTGCATTTACTTCTTCCTCATTCTTTTTTGCACGTTTAATACAAGATAATCTCTTCACAATAGTAAAGTTGACGCCAGTCACCCACAGCTTCAAAAGAAATTTGTCCGGACTTTGTCTCAGAGAGGCCTTCACACCTGTTAGTTCGTTCATTAGATGATTACATATTTCACCTCCGAATTCCTCGCAGAATAAATATGGCAGTCTTCCGTATCTCGGTAAATAGTCGTGAGGAAAATATTTGTCTCTCCGCACGGTGATCTCTGCAACGACATCACCATCAGATAATCTCTGTCTGAAAAAGTTTGTTACATCTAAGACGAACTGATCCAATGCCGTCGCATATTGATGATCAGCATAGTTTGGTGGGCGCAAAAGCTGTGTTTCTTCTTCTTCGTCGTCGTTTTCGAGGCGAGGAATGGGAATTTGGAAAAAGTCAAATTCGATTAGTAACTCTTCTTTCGATATACCAGAAGATTGATTTCCGCCTGGATATATTATTTTCCCCGTCCTATAATATTGCAAGACATAGCGGAACACATGTCCATCGCGATCGATGAAATATTCATTGTTATTCGTTGGGTGAGCGAGTTCATCGTTACGTTTTTGAAACATCCGACCGAGAAAAGTATCCGGATAAGCAAGAAGTGTTGAGAGAGTGGTTTCGTACTAGATGAAATAGATTATCAGGTACAAGAAAATGAGAGCTTATACAAATCGTTATAGTTTACCTTTATTCCTCCTACGTTGAGGACAATTCGTTCGTCAGACATTGTAAAATTGATAGTATGAATGCGTCTAGTGACAAGAATGACCATGATTACCCAGAAAGTCAGGTGACATACGCCATACATAGCAGGCAGTCGATGTGCAACACTCGGTGTTTTTGCTATACTTTACATGGCGAGATGACTTTATGATGTGGGTCTAAATTTGCATTCTCATTTTTTAGATTGCTACGAGGCATTCGGTCGAGCGAGGGTTTTTATATCTTTCTTGTCACATGCAAATGTGAATGTCAGGTGCTAAACCCACGTTTATGATAATTCGTCCGAGAATTTGTACTTCCCATGGATAGAGAAGTCATTGCTGTAGAGCGCATAATCGGTCCTTATTATATCGTTGGAGCCTGTCATTTTATTTTTGATCTTCTCGAGTCACCTCGCGTATGTTTTACGTGTGACAGTCACTCTAACGAAACATGCATTTTCAATCCGTAAATAAATCATCTTTCCCGAGCAAAAATTCCAGACCCAAATAATTGAAGCCATAGTTGTATAAAGGCAATAAAGTCGTAGCGATCGAAAAAATTTATACATTAACTGGCTCAGATTTGCATAAAATCACACACAAGTCATACGCGTAAACGCGGACTTTCAAGAGCCAATAGATGCTCATGCAACATCCAAATGCTTTTACCAAAGAGGCGTACCTCCATGAAACTGCTTATAATAACACACAGTTTGAGTAGCATGCCTATACAGTATGCAGTCTAATTGGAAATAAGGCTCATAGTCTTTGCCAAGTTGTTCAACGCTCATGTTTTGTTAATCTTTTATTATTTTGGACATCAAGTTCAATTATTCCGCATTTAATCATCTCTGCAATGCAATAACACCGTATTGAAGACGACCAATGATGGATTGTCACGGGTCATCCTATCTGCTGTTCGCCTCACTTCAAATTATGTATCTTTTATAATACATTTAATTGTTCTGACCGTATAAATATCACCATTCCTGTCTATGACTTTCTTTTTTTTTTTTTTTGCTAACTTACCGTTACATAGTTACAAAGAAATTTATACAAGGCAATTTATTATGCTTCCATTAAGTCTTAAGTGCTTGTAATCGAGCCTGCATCTCATTGAGCTCAGGTTCTTCTTCCACCACCTCCTCTTTGGTTGGCTGCAATAAATTGACAATATGTAAGTAGTGTTAATTTACGAAATACACAATATTCGAGATTATAATCATTCTCACCAATACTTCGCCAACTTCGCCTCCTTCACCGAGTAATCCTAAAAGGTGGGAGTAATCAGTAGTGCAGATACTCATTAATTTAAAACGAAACGACAATAACAACAGAGACACCTGTACAAGTTTGGCATTGTTCAACTGACCATTTGTAACCTCAAACAATATCTTATTTACTTCTGCCTCGGCCTCGTCCTCTACATCGCTTTCCTCTAAGGTTTCAAAAGTATCTTCTATCATTTCATCAATGATACCAGCCTAAATTTGCCAGACGTCCAATGTTATATTAACCAGCAACTTTTGTACGAGATAATTCCTCTTAAGAATTTTATTCAATGAAATGATTTACTCATCAGACTATCTACCTTTGTCATTTCCATGGATAATTCCTGCATCGCTTGTGATATCTCGGGAAGTCTGGCAAGTTGATTGACCATTTTCATAATGTCTGTGCTTTTTTGCAGTGCTCCAGATACTTTTAACACGGCTTGAGAAAGATAATGATGTTAGAGAGATTGGTAGACGGTTAAAATCAAGACACATCGTTTTGAGAAATATTTCCATGAGACATTATGCAACAACTCGCTCGTTGTTTCTCGCTTAACTCTTGGAAAACCTCCATTTTATGTCCCCTCCATTCTGTCTTGGAAAGCTTACCCAACTGATGCTGTAATTGCATTACAATACTGTTCAACTGAGCCTTGCTCGTATAGATTCTATTTTTCTGCTTTTTGCTCCGAACCAACTCCTTCGCTAAACTTTTACATCCTTTTACATCATTTTTCTTCGCCAAAAGCTTCATACTTTTTTTCACCTTCGCTTCCTCGATCTCAATTCCACGCAATTGTCTATCTAAAGAACGCTCCTGGTTGCGAATGCTTTGACGCCATTTGCGGACCGCCTCGTCTGGCGGCGTCTTTTTCCCAAAGAACTTTTGCACTGAGCTCATGGCAACTAAATCGACGAGGAGAAGGTAAGAGAGCGTGCGTGGGCTTGGTAAAGATGGGGGGATAGAGGGGAATGTTGGAAATAGAGTAAGGAAGAGAGAAGTGTCATATAGTATGATCATGTGATGAGGTATTTAGAGGACGGATAGCTATTGGATGACAAACGAACATAGTAATGACATTGACGAATAAGAAAAAACAATAATGACAAAGCTTTTACGTATACGTTAAACTCTTGGCAGTAATTAAATGTTGTCCACGATAACAAATTTCACAATAAGTTTTTCAATAAGTTTTTTGCATTTACTTTTATGCAAGAAAGGCGTGACTTGGTTTGGCCAAAGACATTGTATAACAAAAATATAAACTCTAAATTGTCAAAAATGTTGCAAATAAAGTAGCATTTGTTATTGTAAATAGTTTTACTTAGTACTGGAAGAATGTCTGACACAAGTTATAATAAATAAGGCCTTAACTCAGCATCGTCAAGATTGACAATACTAAACAAACATGTCTAATAATTACTTTAGCTTCATCTCTCGTGCCAAATTTGATAAACTGGTGGAGAATTATTATGTCACCTGATCATTGCGAGAAGTTGTAAATCAAGCAATTGAAATTCTTATCAGTTCAGATACAGGTGTAAATCCAGAATTTAAACACAAAATGTAAGGAACAACCAAAGGAAAAGTCACTTTTTGTCTGAAATAAAAAAAGCCTTTTACCGCCAAACCACATCTATCTTTGCTCACGAACCGTTAATTTTAATTTTCGCAATTGAGAAAATGCAAACACCATCTCGACATCATTCTAGTTAATAATAATACAAACGATTAACTTTGTAGATAAACACATCAACTGAGAGAATACACGTGAAAACCAGAGACTGCTATGTAAAATGTATTTTACCATGTGATATTACCATTTTGTCCGAAGATAATATAGAATTTGCCATTAAGGAAGTAAGTATAATATTAACTCAATTTTGCGCCCGCAGTACAAATATTCTAACGTTAATTTACCTAGTTACCCTACGAACTTATAGACTTTTTACTGGGTTTGTTTATATTCGAGAGAAAAATTACTACTTATAGAAAGTAATTTAAAAATCGATACACTTCCAACTGTATTATGCGACAGAAAATTGCAATGAAAATTGATCGCACATGCATTATTATTATACTGCGCCGAGAAAAATTGATAATACATCACGTAATATATGCATGGATACTATATATGATTTATAAAAATCGATTGATATGCATTCAAAGGGTGTATGCAATAACAGATAAGTCCGTCCGAACTCGGGACCAGATAAAAGCGTGCACTTGGAGGAATTATGCATTTAGAGGAGATGCATTTAGAGGAGTTTCACTGGTAAGAAAACCATATCACTGTGACGAATGTCTCCGCTCAACTCTGTCTCCATATCTACTAGCTTCTTAGTGTCACTCATTCCTGCCTTGTTTCTTTTATGCTATTGTCGGCATTATACGTGTAGAGTGCAACCAATAATTTGTAATTTATCTGCTAACCACAGTCGCTCACTACCAAATATAGGTTTAGCAACTGCATTGTGCATTGCCCAAATTCGTGTATAAAAAAGACTTGTCCCTTGCTTGTTTTTTATCTTTATTGTCATATTTTTAAACAATTTATCTGCTATGAACACGAACAGCAAACCAAGACCCGCCCCTCATTCTGAAGACGAAAAAGAACTAAAACGAACCAATGTATTTGCACAGCCACATTTCCCCGTTTGTCCTTTAGGGAATTTCAAAATCGGCCAATAATTCAACTACGCGTCAAGCGAAACCGTTTACTCCTCCGTTAAAAAGTCTTGGCAAAGATGTATTTATGCGTAGTCCGGTTGCTATGAACGGTAACACGATAGAGATTAAACTACGTCATGACGATACGACGCCCAAGAGGAATTTCTTCTTCAGAAAACAATGCCACAAAGATAAATATATCATTATGTAAAGTAACCGAATCATTTGATAATGTGGATACTTCGCCCCAAGTTTGCCAAATTGCCCAAAGATTGTTCTCTCCAACTGCTCATCAGCAGCAACAAGCGGGTGTTGTAACAACGCGTAATTCCAATCTCAATACACCACATTCTATTACAAAATCCAATACATCAATTCACCAACGCAATTACAAATAAAACTCACAAATAAAATTGACATCGAAACACCAACGGTTGAACAAACAAACAATAACATTCAAACCGATGATAAAATTAATGAATTCGACGTAATTATGAGTGCCGTGAATAAATGGAAAGACGAGAGATTACTGAAAAATGCTAAAATCGAGAACCTGGTAAGACTACTTACATTGTCGCTATTTAAATAATGGTGTCGCTTGGAAATATTTGTTCCTTACGATTGATATTTTGGATCCTATAAATTGTAGCAATCACTCAACCAATATTTTTGACCATATATGTAATAGGCAGATACGAAGTTAGCTTCCTTATTAAGTTTAGTCAAGTTCAACGTCCAATAATTTTAGATGTGGCTTTAAGTCCAAGACTGCCGATTTTTTTAGGCACCACTGACCAATTAACATCGCGCAGCACGTCTTAAAATTTTCTCTCATTATATCATGCCTTTCAACATCTGGTTCAAGTACAGTGAAAGTCAGCCGGATAAAGACAGGTTTGATGGAGAGGATGTCGACGACCTGAAGGAGGCGATAAAAAAAAGCTCAAACCAAGGTTGGACGATGTAGCCACCGCTGACATTACCCTCCAAAGATATGACGAGGAAGCGGATCTCGAGCCGGATAGTCTGGTGGAAAAGAACATTGCTCCTTCCGCGAAAAAGCCGCTGAAAGTAACAGCTGCTCAGCCAGGTAACGACTTTGTGACTCGGGCGTTGGGGACATAGATATAGGGTAGACTAGACATGGTAATATATTTCTTTGTATATCCATTCATTCCATCAATCGACTTCGTGACTCGGCGTTGCGCGCTTTTTTTTTTTTTTTTGTGCTTTCTTTCCGTTCACTTCCTTTTTCTGTCCAACCATATCTTGATCACTTTTTCATAATGGGCTATGCTATTGATACCAGTGACGCACGAGTTAAAATCTCCGGAGACTAGCATAATTTTTCATCTTCTCTGTCATATTCGCCAATAATAATAATATCGAATACTTACTTATTTTGTGCTTTTCTTTCCCGCTTCTTAGCGTCAAACCCGCCCAAAAAAAAACACATTTGCGTTATCGTAGATCTTCTTATCACCGAGCAAGAACTTTTTAGAACAGTTATTCCCGATCTATCTTTTGTTAGGATTAAAACAAAATCCACAGTTAAATCAGCTTCGCGAAGAGTGCCAAATGAACCGGTGGAACCATGGAATGCTTTTCTTGGCGGCGCATTTAATGCTTCGTTATCAATTAATGCAGAAGATCGTAAGTTTTATAAACCTAATTTCCCTCAATTATCCATAAATTCGGAAGACACAACGGTTGATCTATTTTTGAAAGCACTTGATAAAGTCAACGATCAAAGATTGGCTTCTCTAAAACATCCACAAATGTGGTGCAAGAGTAATCAAGCTACTATTGTCAAGGGAGAACCGGATATTGTACTTATTGGAGCCCCAGACAGTACAACACTTTATTCTATAAATGCGAGCGGGATACGTTTGTTAGCGACGGTTGAAGCCAAACCAAATCAGTTTATGAGCCAAATCATGCAAGAAATTATTAATGAAAATGATCTTTTAGATGACAATGATGAAAGTGAATTGTACTCTATATATAACTTAGCAAGAGGAGTAAGGGATCACCATACAAATAATTATTCTAAATACGACAAATTAAGAAGAATTGTTCATCAAGGGTTCGGATATATGGTGGTTAACGACTGTCAATATGGCATAATTGCAACACTCAATCAAACGTGGTTTATATGTCGTAGACCTGATAATCCAAGTACTCTTTGCATTTCTCCTGCGGTTTCAGTCAATCAGTTACACACATCCAATCGAGCTTCGTTTTGGGAGTGTCTGCGATATTTTGAAGATTTATCTATGTCAAATCCAACTGTACATTCTGATCCGCCCATAATAATAACTATCAGTGATATCAGTGATGATGAGGGCTCAGATGATCAAGATGATTCACCTCCACCACCTCCACCTGATAAGAAAGGCCAGAAAAAGAAAGACTCTGATTATAACCCATCATGCAAATGTAAATTTTCATCAGCTGGTGGGAGTTCAGGAGTTAGTTCTCGAACTCGGAGTAAAACCAATAATACTGTAATAGTAAATTATACTGAGTTAAGAGAAACCAAGGAAGAAATATTACTTAAATATATGAAAAACTATGATCATAACCAGTTTACCTTTGGCCATATGTTGGGATATGGTCGAACAGGAAGTGTCTTTGAAACAACACTTGGCAGAAAAACAGGTGCTCTCAAGATGGTTGCTTTATATAAAGATCAAAATAAACTAGAAGAACTGCTTAATGAAATCAAGATATACATTGGACCTCTCAAGGAAATTCAAGGCATTTACATACCAAGACTTCTAAAATTTGGGGTTCTTCATGAAGCATTTGTCTTTATTCTTACATCTCTTGCTGAAGAAGCTTTTGCAATAATGGGAGATAATATCACAAGAAAAGAAAAGCAGTTAGCCATTAAGGGCTTACAGAAATTACATTCAAAGGGAGTGATGCATGGAGACATTCGATTAGAAAATATAATGGTGAAGAGAAAGAATGATGGTTCAACTTGTGTGTGGTGGATTGACTTTGGATGGAGCAAAATGACAGATAATGTGAAAGATTTAAACAAGGAATTAACCAATTTAAAATATTTGCTTGGAATGGCAGGCACAAAATAATTCATCACATACAGTGTGTCAAAAAAAAAACCGGAAAATTGTACACATAACAAAAACGCGTCTAGCATGCCCAATTTGGAACCAATTTGCAACGCGTTTGATTCAAAACAAACACAAAGATTTAGGGATAAAGTTAAACTGCTTTTTTCATTGCATACATATGTAACTTTTTGAATA